CGTGGCTTTCGGTGTCTTTGCGGGGCATCGTGTGTTCGGCGCTGCCGCTTGCAAGCGAACACCGGAAACAGGAGGTGTCGAGAGATAGAGGAGCGATAAAAAGAGCAGAAGCAGCAGCGGCGGCGGCGGCGGCGGCGGCGGCGGCGACCGCGGAGCTTTCGGCCTTTCGCATTTCAGAGAGGTTATCATCGCCAGATCTAACAGAGGACAACATTGCCCGGCGCGCCAAATTATTTATTAGCCACCTCCTCCTTCGTTAAGTCTGTCTTCGCCAGAGCTCCCTACTTTGGCTGGTCGAAAAATAGGAGGGAGGGAGGACATGCTGCGAAAGAGTTCTCCAGGCACTGGCCGCGCACGCGGAACTCGTAAAAAAGATTAATGCCTCGCCAACTATACAGCCGTTGCTGCCCTGACGATGAGCTTAGATTGTGTGGCTTGTGTTTCCGTGAAAATTTAATGCACTTCCAGATTGTCTGCGCGCTTTTCTTTTTCTCGATGGCTCGTCTCGCTGATACGTCAACGTGGCGCCAAATTCATCGTCCGACCGTTTTCCGAAAGCTTACGAATCTCACCCGATTGTCTGTCCAACGTGAGTTCACTTGGATTATAGACGTTAACTCTCCTTGTGAGCGTGCTTTCGCTATTGTTTGTGCGTACAGTCGCAAATACCATCGACATTTTCCCAGAAGTAATAACGAAAAAACGATCATTCTTTTTGTACACTTTCGCGCAATGAAGATACGCTGTGCTCACAATCGCCGGAAAATACCCAGATAAAAGTCGATTACACGTATGTCCTTACTCGCGTCATTAAACCAATACAGTCCGCAGGCTAGGCAGATATTTTTAAAAGCTGTAAAAATCAGCGGAAACTCTTGAAATTCATCGGGGGCCATTGTCGTCGAGCTTATAATCCGTGCGGGAAAAATTTGTTCTTTCTCTCTCTCTCTCTCTCTCTCTCTCTCTCTCTCTCTCTCTCTCTCTCTCTCTCTCTCTCTCTCTCTCTCTCTCTCTCTTTCGTTTCGTCCGTCGGAAAAATATTTGTCGGGCGTGTCCAGCATTGTATATAAACAGATCGTGACAGTGTTTTCAAATCGTGACGAGAGAAAATGAAATACAAAAAAAACTTTTTTTTTATCCTCTTTCCCCTTCATTACAAGCTGAGAAAGCATACTCTCTTCGCTAATCGATCATCGGACAAAGATAATGCCGCGTGATAGTTTTTCTTACGCCTCTAAAAGTGAGAGAGAGAAAGAGAAATAGTCACGATCGATTAAATGCCAATGATACTTTCTCAAACGCTCGAGCAGTTAAAACGTTAAAATAATATATATATAAGTCGATTTGAATGACGTTTCTTAAATGTATGTTTTCCGTGATAATACTCTTATTGGCTATACAAGTTTCCTTTGCTGTACGAGCTTTTCGGCGTGACTCTCAAAAATACGTTGGACATTAGACAACATTATTGTTTCAGCTCCAAAATCGTAATAACTTTCACGTTAAACGTCGATACTTCGCGCCTGCGAAACAGCCAAAGTCAGCCCTGCATATGTCAGCCACGGGTAAACATGCAAATGGAAATCATGCCGCGCGTTATTATTTCGCCCGTCAAATTAATTCCCGGACTTTTTCCTCTGACTGGCGCGCAGAAAGATCGTCAAGAAAGTTGGTTAATTCAATGAAAACGCCGAGAGAGAAAGAGAGAGAGAGAGCGAGAGACGCCATAGTGTTGCAGATGTCGCCCAGTAGCAGCAGTGCGGCTCGTACGAGTTTATACGGTAGCTTGCTTCCCTCCCCCTGGCAAGTCTTCTCTCCTTCTTCGTCTTCGATGCAATTAAGACCCCCGAAGAGAGAGAGAGAAAGAGAGAGTGAGAGAGAGAGAGAGAGAGAGAGAGAGAGAGAAGACAGTAGTTCGTGGCTGAATTATTCAGCAGATGTCGCCTGGCGCGCGCACAGCGAGAAGAGAGCTGATAAGTTTCGCATCCGGATTTGTAATATCCCCCGCAAAACTCCGACGACGACTTTCGGGAATATATATATAAATATATATATACTAAAACATCTATTGCAGCTATACTTGAGAATCTTAGCAGAGCGCCTAAACGTTAGGTTAACAAAGTTTTGCTTATTTTTTCTTCCCCACGGCTAGTGTTAAAACAATTCCAACTGGCTGGTTGGCAAAAGACAGGACGAAAACTTGCTAATGAAAAATGGCGGAGACAATTAAGATAGCCGAGGCAGAGGAAAAAAGGAAAAAAATATGGTGGGAGGGACGTATTCGCGAGATATAACTGCGGCGAGATATTCCTCCAACAGCTAGGCGTCGCCTCGGGAATCTTAACGAGTCCTCTCTCTCTCTCGCTCCGAACTTATGAGCTCGGGACGCGAGAGAGGAGGAGAGGGAGAGCTTTTACATTAATCGCTTGGGTATTATTCATTTGCGAATTAGAGCGACACTTTTACCAGTGGGGGTAGAGAGTTTAGTTACTGCGCGAGATTAGATATTTTTTTGCTGACCCATTGTTGAAGACTAGATTTCAGATGATGCAAAAAACAGACATAAATAATTTTTAGTTTTACCGATGAAAACTGTGCCTATCGTCAATTGTGCGTTCCCTTCGATACACAATTACAGATTTAATCCGGTATTGTTCACAAATAATTTAACAAATAAACCATCAACAATAATTTGTAAATTACAGTTCTACTTGCGTTGTCTGCACACCTACGTACACAAATTTCTCGATACTTTCTTTTTAATCTCGGCCACCGGCTAAAAAAACGACTCATCAAACTCGATGTCGACGCTTTTCGCGAAAAAAAAATCGCTTGCATAAATTTTCCAGCATTGACGTCGAAAATCTGCATTTCCGCTTTACCGTTATACTTGCGTTCGGAAGCTGCTCTATGTCGACAGTTTTCTTCGAAAATTAAGAGCGAACAGCGAAAAGAATCTAATGATAGTATGCGGTTTGACGTTTGCATAAGTCGTCTAATTTACCACGCCGGATTTGATACGCACGCATGAGTTTAAAAAGTATTCTTGGACGCTGGTTTGATAATCCGTTTTTACTATTACTAGCAAACTACGAGAATAATATTATTATTTTTTTATTATGGTTACTTTAAGAACTGCGATCATTTAAAATGCTTCGTACGTATTAGTCTGAGTTCCCTATCTGTGAAACAAATAAAATACTTTTTAGCCATAACCATTACGGTTTTTTTCACGTAACAATGGCTCTGGAGTACGTGATGTAAAAAAAAGAAGGAAGAGTATTTGGGCATAATAATCTAAGCTTCTATATTAGAAAAACACATATTTTAGTAATGTTTCATTATCAGGCGTTTCACTGACATTTTTCATGAGATGAGAGCCATGCTCTCCCACCACTATTTCATTTTTACATGTATTATGACTGGACCAACAGTTCAAGGTGAAATCCGAACCAACAAAATGTAGTTTTATAATTTGTTATTTCTTTTTTTAAAATGTAATTTTTTTTTGTCTGCGTTGAATTTTGAAATACTGATTTTTTACGAGTTTGATGTATTAAAGCGTTTATATGAGTTTTTGTTTTATGTTGTGCAGATATATTGAACTGATTATCATCGCTAATGCGAATGAAGATTTGAGTAAAAGGAAAGACGAAACTTTATAACCTCCCGATGCTTTTGGAAGCTAAAAGATCAAATTTTAACATGTGTAATTCAGTACTTTGAGCCGTTAATGGCGGTCTCGAATTCGCGATTCGAAAGAACGAATTTTAGAACTAGTTGTGCCATATATCCTCTAAATTATAAACACAAGAAAAGTAATTCTCAATTTTCGGCAAATTTTTTTTTGAAATTATTGTCGTATAAAAAGTTGCTGATCACTAAGTCGTGTCAACAAAAATTGAGATCGACTAAAGCGAGCGTAGATAAAAAAAAATCAAGTTATATTAGCCGCATTACATCGCAACTACATCATAACTCATTGAAGTGTCGACAGTCGCCGCGTACGTCGACCTCTCTCTCGCTCGCTCTCGTCCACGGCGGACAAGGTTTTTTCCCTCCTATTGGCCCATTAACTATTGCGAGTAAATCAGAGAATTTCATTGGACATTGTTTCTTGCGACATTGTTGCCTTGGCTCGGGCGAAAAGGAAAGTGTTCTAGTAGTTCCTTGTTATCCACAGCGCAGAATACAACACGCTGGCTGATATACGTCATATCGCGCAAATTGTACACTGCCGTTATCACAGTGTAACGTAGTGTCGATCGTTCAGCGCACACCTTCATCGACTCTGCGGATTTAACTGCTGATTTTTTCTATTGTAAGTCGTTATAAAATGTCTAATTGCTTGTTTTTAACCTTAAAGATTTCACCGAGCAGCTGCAATTATGTAGATAAAATTTCGACTGGTTTATTATAGTGCCGATAACAATACTGACCTTAATATTCCTTAGCAATACTTTGTAATTATACGAAACACGTTGATTATTTTTCACTTCAAACATGAGGGTTTGCTTAATCACTCTTACTAAAAGTGTTTTCAAAATTATCGAGATAAAACTGATCGTACAAATGAAAACCGCAGAGACAATCTGATAATACAAGTCGATCGATAAAGCAATTTTTAATAGGATCGTCGGGGCAAACAATCGGAGTAATTACGCGGAGTAACTCGTCGATAAACTGCATTATGAATACAGTTTGCGCGACAAAACTGGCATTCGGAATCGCGTTGTAACGGGAGCCCTAGCGCGACGATCAATCCTATATATGAAATCCCACGTACTCGCCCTGATTGCAGTTGGCGCGCTCGCGGCAAGCGGAGGGGAAAACAATTAACCTTAATAACAGTATTAAAACGTCACAGCACTGTCGACACTCGTGTATACGCGCAAGCATCGCGCGCACACACATGTATGGTTTACGTATGTGTGTGACGAGAGCTTTTGCCAATGGAGAGCTTGCGCGCACATTAGTGCTTCGGGTACGGTGATCTCAATTGTTTTGTTGTTCAGATTACTTTCTTTTTTATTATTGTGGTAGTAACTTACTTACTGAGTGGGCTGTAATGAGGAAATACGATGATAATTGTATTTTTGTTATCTTAAAATCATGGAGAATAATCAACAATTTAAAGGTTTTTTCCAGTTCTTTTCACTTCTTTAAAGTTCATTATTAATCTATCAAAAATTGTTTATCAGATGATTTCATCTTAATTTTTAGTTATCAAAAGATGAGTGCTATATATAGTTCAATGATTATGTATATATTGCGTATATCGACTTATTTTTTTAACATCTAGAAAACTATGCATTATCTTAGAAGCAATTTTAGAAACAAACACGTTTGAGTTACAAATTAATAAGTGCGCGTTCAGTAAGATAAAAATGAAATTCTAAACATTTTTTAATTTTAGTTACGTTTTAATATTCATCTAATTCAAAAATAATTTCTAACTATCCGGTAAAATCATAAAATTATATATATTAGCTGATATCATTTATATTAATTTGAATCAAATATTATTTTAAATAATCATAATTAGATTTTCATTATGAAATATATCACGAATTACGAAAATATATCACAAAGTTGAACGAGTTTATATTAACTAAAACCGGAAAATGTCTAATAGATCATTCGCATCATCTCTTACAAGCATCTGCTAATATGTACTGAAATATGTAAACTAAATTATGCTAACGCGTTAAAAAAACACAAACTTTTCCAAAAATGTTACATTAATTGAATGAAATTGAAATCAATTGTGCATTCACCAATTCTAAGAAAAGTATATCTTAAATATTATATTTTACAAATGATTCTGTTGTAAAAGCTTATTATTCTCTGAAATCTCATTATATCATGACTATCGCTTAGTTTAATTGTTTAGAAAGTATAGTAAAAGTAAAAGTAAAGGAAAAGTGAGTGGCAAAAGTAAAAGGCCAGTACAATAAATTCTTCCTGACTAAAGATCATTAATTTTAAATCATCTTCATTGTATTGGTTTTAATTTTATTGTCAGTTGCTCCATTTAGTAATATTTATTTGTTAAGAATTTTGTCACGATCAGCTTTAATGAAAATGTATTGTTTATGATAAGCACAAAAATAGCTAACTTAGTCACTCATTGGTTTACAGGAAAAAATAGATTGATAATGAAGAGCACATTTTTTGGAATTTTTTTTGTTGGAACATGCTTTGCCGAACCACAATTACAATTAATAAATATCGTATGTACCGCTCAATTATTAAGATAAGATAAAGTGTAGACAAAGATTATCCAAATAATATTTTTAAAAATATATTCAAAATAGTTTTATCATAGATAATTAATTGACCTTCACTTTTATGATGTATTTTTTAAAATTTTAGTATGCTATATTTGCATTGATACCAATAAATCCTCATAATAATCGATGATTATTCGAATTTAAACCTAAATTTATGTGATCATATATAAATGTTTTGCAGGTATTCAGACATGGCGATCGTACACCAGTTCTTCATGCAATTTTTCCAACTGATCCATATCACAACTCTAGTTTTTACCCATATGGTCATGGTGGTTTAACAAATGTATCTACTATTTCTATTTCTATTTCGCTATTTACCGTTTGAACATTGATTTTTTCAATAAAATTTTTTTATTATTTGTAATTAATAAATTCGAAAAATTTCAATGAATTCTAGTGAAAAATGATGGACATATTTAAAAATAGATTTTTGTAAAATCTACATAAGCAATAATAAAATAACTATAGACTAACGTTTATTAAAAATTATATTTTAATAAGAATAATAACTTTTAGGATGGGAAATATCGAATCTATAAATTCGGAGAATTTCTTCGTAGAAGATATAAAGACTTTCTGGGTGATGTTTATTTACCAAACTTAATTTATGTGCGTAGTACAGATGTTGATAGAACAAAAATGAGTGCACAACTGGTTCTGGCTGCTCTATTCCCACCATCCGATCTACAAAAATGGCATGATACGCTCGATTGGCAACCCATTCCAATTACATATTATCCCAAACCATTAGATGTTATTTTAGCTGTAACATCTCAATCTTCGTATGTAAAATGAATCTCAAATCACACAAATTTTGCACGTACAGCATATAGTATCAATAGCGTGATTTCATTGATTTCATTATTAAATTTGTTCATAGCACTGCATTGCTTAAATCAGCACTAAGGTAATGCTCCGTGACTCAAGCAGTTAATTTTTATACCGTGCTTAGATCACTCACTAGCGTTCGTGCCTTAACCTCACGATGCATAAATGACCCATCTTAAGTTACGGATCGACGAACCGTAAGTGCTGATTTAAGATCAACAGCACTATAAAATGTTGTACGTTTGCAACTCCAGAGTATCCCATCGTTTCAAGGCGTGATTATCGCCCCTGCTTGTGCTCGGGCGCTAACATCACTCAGTGCAATAATGGGCTACTTAAGTCACACCTATCATAATATACTATTATCTATGCTCAAACATGTAACACGACAGAACAATAAATTCGTTATCACTTAGTTTTATCAGAGCAAAAAAGAGAGTAAGCAAGACTGAATACATTCGAAATCGCTTGAAACATTTTGAAGCATTTATTTCGCAATTGGAAAAACTAACAGGAATGAAAATAAAAGAAACTTATGACGTAACTAAAATATATGATACACTTTACTGTGAATGGAAAATGAATTTGACGCTTCCAAGTTGGACTAACGAGATCTTCCCAAATGGAAAATTACTCGATGCGGCGCTGATCGATTACGAGCTCATGACATACGACCAAAATATGACATACGATTTAGTTGGTAAGTTTTACCTTTCGATCATATCTAACTTTCACCATGTCAATAAATTATCTGTCGGTAGGAAAGTTGGCTGAGAAAATCAGAGAAGACATATTAGCAGTGACAAACACAAGAGAAACCATTGAAAGGAAAAAATTATATTTATACAGCGGTCATGAAGTCAATGTAGTTGGAGCTTTGATGTCGCTGCAGATTTATGACAGAGATCATATACCAACTTACGGCAGTGCTGTGATAATCGAACTTCTCAAAGAGAATGACAAATACTATGTGAAAGTAATATAGAATCTATGCAACTTACTAAATTACTAAATTCAATCTCATATTGTACATTAATTCTATTTGTTATTCATTCCTAGGTTTTGTATTACAAAGGAAATTCGTCCAAAGTCGAGGAAATGGCATTGCCGGGATGTTCGATTCTGTGCCCATTAGAACATTATTTGACTCTGGTGTATGATCTGCTGGGACCAGCAAAAGCGCTCCGTTTATAATAATAAATTTAGTTTTACTTGAAAATCCGTTTGATTTTTGTCGCAAAAAAACCCACATGTGATCATTATGAAGTAATCGGTCAACGCAATCGAATGGGTAAGCGAACTCAAGCAGACGATCCCCATCGCAGCTGCTAATTAACAAAGAAGCTCATATCTGAGCATATTTTATACGCGCGGTCGTCGAGTCGCTTTGTAAATTGGCAACCAGCATATCCTGTCTGTGGGACAATTTTTTTCTTCGTCTCCTTTCTGAAGTGTGTATGTGTATATATTTCGTAGCTAATTGTCAGCGGGCGTTATCGTCGATCTCATTATACGCATACCTCGTGCGTGTATAGTCTCTGCACACACGGTTTCAAGAGATATCTTCTCGAGAGGGTGGTCGAGAGCAAGCAGGAGAGAGAGAGAGAGAGAGAGAGCGAGCGGTAGCGCGAGGTGCGAAACGCGTTTGTCGCGACACGAGAGTTGCCTTACACGAACCACGTCGACGAGATAAGTGGTATACGCGACGACGAGAGAGTGTGAGATTGATTGAATTTATTCGACTGTTGTGTCTCTCTCGCGTTATGGTAATCTTGATTGTCTGTAATTTTATTGGGATGGAGAGAAAGAAAAAAGAATTAATGACAGTTAACGGTTGTTCGGGGTGGCGAAAATACACACGCACGCACACACACACACACACACACACTTGTTACAATATATATTCTTATCACGTCGCCGCGTGTTAGTTCACGATCGTGTTTGCTGTTTATATTGCTGATCGATCACTTTCAAAATAGTTGACTGGTTTGGAAGTGATACGACGTGCACGAGTGTGTTAAATCAACGACCGAACGAAGAAAAAGTACTTTCTGAACAATCGAGGTTAGTCAAAGCAGTTCGTCTCAGATAATAACTCAATCGACAAACGAGATGAAGTTCTTGGTTCAATTTTTTTCGTTTATAATTAATGCACACGAGCGGATCGTAGAAAAGACCAGCCCAAATGTATGTGGACGACGCTGGGCGAGAAAGAACGCAAAACATACCGCGGACGAAACAACGAGGAAGCAAGAGATAAGAGTTAGCGTGGGGCTGTGGGTTCGTTTAGAGACGCGTGTGTAGCGATGAGTTATCGCGAATTTTAATGACGGTGCAAATGTGACTATGGCTTTGGTGGCCGCCCACACGCTATGCTCGTCGATCAATGTCGTTTGATCAAACCCTCTGATTTCCATTCTCCTCCTCTGTCTTAGGTATCTTATTGGCCTTTAATAGAATTGCTGCTGCTGCTGCTGCTGCTGCTGCCGCTGCCGCTGCCGCTGCTGCTGCCATGCTTGTAGCTCCCAAATGGTTAATGGATTAGCCAAAGGGACAACGAGATCGTGTGGAGATTTTTCGGATTGAAAGAGCGAGAGAAAGATTGACCTCGTTTGCGTGCTTGACAAATATTTCCTTGAAAGAGTTTTATTGTGTTTCTATCGGGTAATACGAATTTTTGCTTATTTCATTTCATTTACAAATAAATGTGAAACTTTATAGAGTCCACACCATCATCGCAATAAATCTATCGTATTCACACTTGCGATTCTCAGAAATTAAGAAATCGAAATGAAACGACCTAATCGTGCTTTTTCTTGTTGGCGATGATGATGACGATGATTATGATGGGACACATCCTCGTATCACAGAAGCGACAGATTATACGCCTTTTTCTTTCACTCCGAGACGATACACAATCGCGCTTACGCTATTACCGTGTCAGGTTACTACCTATACTCAATCGCGACGGAAGTCCAGGATTTTCGGGGACGAGCAAAAGTCGCTGTATAGTTTATGAAGTCTGGTTAATTTATGATGATGTATATATTTTTCGCCGAGTAAAGCGAACGATAAGGATCTTTCGGTACACACTCGGTTGACTTTAACGATCTCGATTTCGAAATCAAAGCTCTATGTTAATTTTATTGCGAATGTATATATTCACGTTGGCGCGGTGGCTATTAACGACTGGTTATTCGACTTGGTAGCGTTTATGCTAATCATGTCATCCAAAAACCTTTCTAATTTATTTACTCGACGTCACGCTCAAGTTTCCGCAATAATAATTGTTCCTTCGAATCGAGGGAGCGACACCGCGCACGCATGCGAGATGCATCTGTACCTCAGCACGGAAATGAGATGGCGCTCGAGATAAAGTGGGTGAAAAAAAAATTAATGTATCGAAGATCGTCGCTGACCCACGCTCGAACGTGATATACATCGCAAGCGCGCATTTCCGTAAAAGCGTTAGTTAATTGGCGGCGGAAAATGACTGCGGGCAATTGAAAAAATCCACTCTCTTCGGCATGCATTTTACTACAGATTGTCTCGAGAGAAGTAGTATACGCGCTCGTTCTCGCGCCGAGTTTAATCAACTCGGTTTAACGCTCGTGTCATTAAAAGCCTCTTCTCTGGCAAGACAAGGCGCTCGCGCGACGTGTTATACACTGGCAGTGTGATACTACGCGAACGACGCTGCTGCCAATATCGGCAGGCTTTTACGCGCCTTACTTATATATTCAAATGCGTGTATATAAAAGGCCGAAATACCGTTGATTGACATCTCAAATTACCTTTCACGGAAGCCATTATGCGCGTGATAGCAGATGAATAGGATAGCCTGTTGTGTCCTTCTCGCGAACACGTGCACATTGCGCAGCTTCATTGATACGCCTATATATTTGCTGAATGAATGGGTGAGCTTGTAAAAAGAGAGGACACGCGTTTCTTTGCCGATATGTGACACATGCGAGAAGCTTCCGTATCGAATGATATTCGTTCTGCGAACAGGCGAAATTCTTTCGAATCGCTGCTGTGATATCGGCGCATCCGGCTATATAATTTTCAGCGACGACAGCCGTAACAACTCGTTGCGCGACTTTGCTAAACAATCAACGTCAATTAAAGTCGAACGATCAAAATCCAATCACTCGGCGGCTATCGTCACTCGATAAATCTCCGGACTTTCCGAAAAAAAAATAAATGAAAAGAGAATCTCACGAAGGAATGTTTTTGAAGGGAGTAAAAAAATGCTGCTGTGATCCCCATTGTCTTCTTTGGTTTTTGCGCGCGCGCGACAAACGTGTGCGTGCGCGGTAAATAAAGGAAGAAGGGAGGAGGAAGCAGCGAGCAAGCAGCTTCTTTTAATGGGCGACGCGCGTTTGTCAGAGCTGGAGAGAAGCTGATGGACAAAGTCCCCGCGTAGGCTGTGGCAAACCTTAACGAGGCGTGCGTGCTGCTGCTACTGCAAGCGGGAGCTTTTGTAGTTCGTTATAGGCGAGAACGAGAAATTCTCGTGGATGCCAATGCTGCTTCGTCTGTTCTCTCTCTCTCTCTCTCTCTCTCTCTCTCTCTCTCTCTCTCTCTCTCTCTCTCTCTCTCTCTCTCTCTCTCTCTCTCTCTCTTTGGTTTTTTCTTTGGGAGGAAGGGAGAACTTATATCAACAACCCTTTTATCGACGAGTTTTACTTATTTTACGATTTCCGATTTGGATTGTAATCTCTTTCAGATTATATTTTCATTACTTTTAATAGTTGACTAATTAGGTGAGTATTACTGGGAATACTTTAAATTAATATGTGATAGTCAAAAGAGATGGCTACCAGTTTTAGCGATCGAACCGATATACATATATATACATATATATTCTTACCTGTTCCAGAATGTATATTCTTACCTGCTCTTGATATATGTTTTCGATTATTGAAATTATCAACTGTCGAAGGACTAATAAAATTTTTCATAAAAATAAATAAAAATTATAAATTATAAGAGTCCTCAATCTTTCAAAGAAATAATTCATAATAATAAAGAGCATTCATTTCCTCGAAGCCATAACAATCAAAATAGTATTTTTTTCCTCACGTATGGTGCATATATATGAACCGCTCGCGTTTCGCAAATGAATCAACCGCGCGCGGATCATCCTCGTCGGCAACAATTGTTCTGCGCAAAGAAATAAAAAAAAAGCAGCTAGGTAGAGGAAGAAAGGCATCTTAAAAGATTCAGCTCGAGATCGCGATGCATATATATAGAGTGAGAGAGAGAGAGAGAGAGCGAAGGAAGTAAAGTAAAGCATCAGAATAGAGAGAGGGAGCTTCTCATTGTTCTGCCTTTGGCATCGTCGTCGTCGTCGTCGTCGTCGTCGTCTCGTTACACTTGAAAGACCGACGATTCTCGCAAGAAGATATCTCGACTTGCAGCTTGTTGCTACTCGTCCGGAAGCTTAGTAAGAGTAACTCCCTATACCTCGATCATTATTTATAATTTTCCGCTCTATCTCCTAAGGTCGCGCGCTGCCAACATCTACTGTATACTTGAGCGTGAATGTCGCGACGATTATATGCCTCTATCCACCCCCACGCCCCCCCCCCTTGTGTAGTATTGTGCTTGAAACCTCGGTTCTTGCCATATCTTCTTTTTCATTATGTCGTTTTGATTTCAGCTGGAAGTTTCATTTTTAACGTATCACTTTCTATTTCAATATCATGAAAATATTTCGTTATAGTCCCGAGCGTACTCTTTCAATTCCTCTGTACATTTGATAATGCATACGATTTAGCACTGCAAAAACGCGACGGAAAGCGAGGCAAGCGCCGCGAGCTTGCGCGCGACACAATAAAACACAAAAAAAATGAGGACGCGCGAGAAGAAGAGGGCGAAGGAGTTTTCTTGACGATGACGACGCCGTGCATATATACACGAGAGAAAAAGAGCCGTGGGCTGCTGCTTGTTCGCATTCAAAGACGCGTTCGACGACGCTCTTTTCTCGCGCTATCTCAATAATGTCACTTTTTACACAATACAATCGTTATTAAATATAAAAAAATTTATATATTTGCGAAAAAGAAGGTTTGACGTTGGTATAATCGTTTGACGGTACGATGAAAGGAGAAAAAAGAAGATAATGAGTCGCGGCCATTAGCAATCTAATATTCTATGACACTGGAAGAATCGATTTCAGTACAATTACGTGCAGAAGATTTTCGTAGAACTCACTGATTGCGCATAAGAAAAAATGCCAATCAAACGCGAAGCTCGTCGACGGTATAACCCACGCGACATTGTTGCAAATGCAGCTCTAACAAACTACACGTGTGTGTGTGTATATATATATATATATATATATATATATATATATATATATATATATATCATATATAAATTGAATCTCATTGGGAAGCTAAAGGTATTCCAAAGTCGTGTTACCATAGTCTCTTGGCTTTTAACGCGACGCGGCGGCGGCGACAGCTTAGCCTTTTCAGCGCCTTCATCAAAGGATACCGCGACGCGGTCTTTTCCTCTTTTCGCTCCTTCCTCCGCGGTGTTGAGTTACCGGCGCAAGCGACCGATTATTCCATATTGCTTCTAATAGCCTATCGGGCGTGTGTTGCCCCCTCCCCGCCGATATGCATCGCATACGCCCTCGCTACTCCTTTTCTTTTTAGACAGCTACTCATTAGGTACTTTTGGAAGATTACCTGCGACGTGTATGCTTTGCTTGTTCCATTGTATCGATTGCTTTCTAACCATTCCTCTCCTCGACATTCTACTTTCCTTCATTTCCATAGGTGTCTGTTGACTGCGCAGCGCGCGAGTAATCTGAAATTAATACGTACTATTCGTATATAATCGTCATTCGGTCATCGAATTATCGTACGTCCGTTTTTCGACGTATACTTACTTGCTTAATCTCCAGCTTTTATCCAGTATAAAGATCAAGTACGTCATTCGTTCATTTTATTCTCGAATATTATGAAATTACAAATAATTTGTTACGTTGCTTATGCAAATCGTAACGTGTTATTCAATCTTACGCGAATAGCCGATTTAAAAAGAAAAAAAATCGTTATACGAAAAAACAGTATGCGAACAAAAAGTATAATTTTTCTCGTCGCGCGTCAACAAAAAAAATGTTAACATTCTTGAGGAATATTTTATCCGATCGCCTCGGCGCGACGGTGCGTTGATACGATTAATTAATGACTTCCTGTAATTTACATTTACAACAGTAACCTGAGTGCGCGCGCAGTTTAGTTCGGAATGCCATGCTCGAAAAATAATCATGACACGCGCTTGGCCACTGGAATAAGTGTGTCTGTGTCTGTGTGTGTCTCGAAATAAAAGTTATTCCGTGCCGCGCTGCCTGCAGCTCACCGCGAGATCGGCAGCAGTGAGGGACTTTGTAATGATGCATAGCGATTATATTAATTGACTAACACGAGATCTCGAAGATAAATATAGGTCTTGTTTGATATGGTGGGGCATTAGCAGGGAAAAACCGGCGGATTCCAAAATAGACATCTTACAAAAGGGGGAAAAGAAAGCGGAATCCTTACACGGATCTCTAATTAACAAGCAATCAAATTCTCTGGCGTGTGCTGTCGATCGCGGTCGCATCGTCTGCCTTCGTTATGTTCGGCATTTCACGGGAAGGCTACTACGCTTTACAGTGAAATAACGAGATATCTAGAATGAGAGGAAATCGTGGCAAGAGATAAGCTACTTCTCCGGTTTTGTAATGCGAGTCGGCGTCGAGCGATGGCATACAGGACCGCCGGCTGCTGCTGCCGGTGCTGGCAGTGCATTTAAGTTGAAATACGTGTCACCTGCCTTCATGTGGGCCGCCGCTCAAGCGTCAAACGCTAGAGCCTCTCGTCATGCCCACGTGAGATTTGTGGTGCAAGATATGCGAAAGAGCGAGAACGGCTTGATGCCTTTTTCCACTCGGCAGCTTATTCCCTCCTCGGCGTCACGGAAAACTCGAAACGAGCTTCCGCGACGTCCGCGTCGTCGGCTGCTCCTTGCCGCGCTGAATCCAGGCGACACCGTTGCTCGTGAATTCGGCAATGAGGCAGGCGGCAAGGCGATCGTCCGATAAATCTTTAATCGGTCGGCAACTACCTGCCCAGGAAAACAATCCATTAATTCCATGCTCGCGCTCGGCTTATTACTCGTGCCCCGCTGAAAAAAGCAGCAGCTACGCCGACTTCACCTGCAACCATACGACGGAGTGAGAGAGAGAGAGAGAGAGAGAGAGACAAAGCGTCAAGACGGATAAATTAAATGAGGCGAGAGAGCAAGCCAAAGCCGCCTACGGCTTGTGTTAGAATGACGGATCCCCATTTAGTTGCGCGCAGATACCGATCGCGGATGCCTATCGCTAGTCACCGACGAGAGACGAGGCCTTCGATCCTCTCTCTCTCTCTCTCGCTCTTTCTCTGTCTTTGTTTATCGAGGGAGAGTGCCGAGGACAAGCTATGCCGTAAAGTGGAGAGACCTTTTATATACCGATCGTTCTCTCTCTCTCTATCTCTCTCTCTCTCTCTCTCTCTCTCGCTTCGCCGACGTTGTAACTCTTTACATATATATAGAACGCTACTTCGATTACCTCTTGATGCCCTTTCAATGCCTCGCTTCTTGTTTTCTTTCGGCTTTTCGCATCGCTGCTTATTAAAACTTGCGCTTCCTCAGACAACCACATCTTCGAGAGGTGAAAGCTTTGTTTAACCATAAAAATATTCGTAAACCAAAGCGTCTTTCCATCGAGAGAGCTAGAGGAAGTATAGAAGAGCGCGCGCAGAAGCTGTCAGTTCGAGTTGTCAAGCGTAAATTTGCCAAGAAAAACGAGCCTGCGCTGACGAGAAAGTGCCTTTTAGAGAATACGTATGTGTAATACACCGAGTTAATTAAATTTCAACGTCGCCTCGTATCCTATTGTGCCAAAACATCTCTGCGAATCCCAGCTAATTTTCAACAATTAACTTTTGTCAAGCGTCTCAGGCACCCACACACAGTCGGCTATATAATCGCAGAAACACGTTTTCTCGCGCGCAAAAGCTTGCGGAGCTTGCAAATTCGGCGCGCGCGAGTGCTTGTTCGCGTGGGTGCTTACATACGCTTTAGCCCAAACCCTCTCGCTCGCCTCCTCCCTCTTAAGAGGTTACCCTAGCGTGCATAGGTTATATTGTCGCCGTGTGCGCGAAACAAGAGAGCCGACTAAGAGATCGTTTCAGCTTGCAAATTACAGTTCCTTAGGCTGCTGTATACGAAACGTTACTGATGAAGTGCGTCGGCAGCAAGCAAGAGAGAGACGCGCAGATGCGACAGACATGCAAATTACTTGCCGTCTCAGTAGCGAGGCACTGTTTGTAAGGCAAGGCATCTCTACGTACCTTTTGCTTGGCTTAGTTTTCATTTCGAGTCTTCTTTTACTGCGCGTGAACTTGTGCGATTGGCGATGGATTCGCTATTATACGGCATCCGAATAACGACGCGCCAACGAGTTCCTCGCTCGCCGGACGCTCGTCTCGACAAGATGTCAAATTTAAGAATTGTTCGTCTAAACAAAGCCACCGAGTATTCGTACCTCAAATCCCTCAAACTTACAACGTATGCAGCAGCTAAACGTATACACAGCGAACACCCGAGAGGAACACAGTCGCTCGCTGTTATACACAGCCAAGAGGTGGGCATGGACGCGTATAAGCGTGACTCCGCATTATAATATTCGCGCGACACTCTTAAACCCCATGCGAACTATACGTCTAGGCGCAAGCAGCGCGCTGCTACGAGATGGCTTAGCTCTGCCTAATTAACGCTCCGCGCCCTCGCACGCGCGCGCACAGTCGGCGCCTATTGTTTCGGGCAATAAGTTCTTCGTCAAATTTCCTAGTTTACATGTGAATGCTCGGAGAGATTTGCTCGAAAGAAAGATGCCTCGAGCACCGGCCCTCTTGTCAATTATCACGCCGAGATCGGATCCTTTGTTCCAATGAGCTTGAATATGCCTGATAACAACGGCATGATTGAGACATTGTTGGCGTTAAGTTATTCGCCAAGCCGTTTGGACAATTCTCGCCTTATTGTTTGGACAATTCTTATCTTATCACGACAAGGCCAACAGGTGCACGCTTGCGAGCTGTCGTAAAGATAGCAGATAGTCGTGTGCGATTGGTCGCTCACGATTTTTCAACCTGTGTATAAAAGTTCCGAACGTGTCGCGTTCGACTATTCTTCTCTCGTCTGCTCTTCTGCAACGCCACGGACAGCTCTCAATATGTGGACGAAGATTTTCGCTCTCCTCGCTCTACTTGGATATTTTTCAGTTGCAGTTGTAAGTAAGAGCGTTGCTTCTTTTCCGTATAATTCAAATCATAATGGACGTGTACATTTGGGCTTCAAGGGATACGAACGACGGGCCTAGCCGGCAGACTGCTCGAAATTCGAGGAATGTGATCCAACTACCAACAAATGCAAGCTGAGACAATGCTATCCCGGGACCGAATACGATCCAGCCTATGAAACGTGCACGGTTCTGATTACGCTTGAAGAAGAACGATCTGACTGTAAAAGATTGCCTAAAGATGCAAGTTGGTAATAGTACCATCGATGTTGAACATTAACAATAAATAAACATACGCATTTATTCGCGTTCTGCTCAGTCAAGTCCTACGACCGATCGATCGACACCTTTTTTCTCAAGAAAAACTCGGCGCGAGGCGATACGTGCGTAATCCGCGAACGCGCGATGTCACGACGATGAATCATCGATCGCCGGGAACGGAAGAGAAAAAAATCCTGGCAAGACACGATCGCGCCATGTTGTTTTCGCATATGTCCATCGGAAAAACCGCATTATCAAAAAGCCGCTCGTTCTTCTCTGATCCCGCGCGCGCGTCTCGTTGCTTTTCCTCGCTCTCGGCAACGGACACGCACACGCGCACACATGCTCTCCCTCTTAATCTCTCTCGTCGGTTCTACTTTTATTGCAACGAAACGCAGGGGGAAGAAGAAGCTTATAATACGTCTTAGCGCGCAAAGTCCCAGCTCATCAATGACCGATCTCACTGTAACGCTGCAACGTCCGTTTATTTGAAGCTGCCGGTGCCGACTTTTTAATACACGCGTCATTACCGCTTGGACGCGAGCAACCGGGTGTCACCGCTGTGTGTATCTTCCGCGGACGACTTGGAAAAGCTATAATCGCGCCAGCAGCGGTGCGACTCGTCGATAGGCGAGGCGCTCTCGAGCTGATTACAATTATCGAGGTTTCATAATCGGCCGAGGACGGCCTTCCATTTGGGAATTGTGCAATGCGTCGCTTAGCGAGACCAGTGAGCCGATACCGATACACAGGGCGAAATCAGCTGGCGAAGGCGAGGCTCGTTACGACGCTCCCCTTTGGCGCCAGGCTCGAAAGGAGCGCTCGCGAAGGTGCTGGCCGAAGGCAATTCATTCGGCGGCGCGGCAATCTCCCGCGGTACCTGCGGCTCTGAGCTTCCGCGGCGAGCGAGAGGGGCGCCGAGCGAGCCGACTTCCGGCGAGAGGATTCGTCAGCGTAACAATCTTCCTGACGCTCAGCTTCCTCTTTGCATGTGACGCCGCGGCCTCCTCTCCTCTCTGCTTCTCGTCGCTCGCCGGACGCTCGTCTCGACGTGATTTCAAATTTAAGAATTGATCGCCTAAACAAAGCCACCGAGTATTCGTACCTCAACAAATCCCTCAAACTTACAACGTATGCAGCAGTAAAACGTATACACAGCGAACACCCGAGAGGAACACAGTCGCGCGCTGTTATACACAGCCAAGAGGTGGGCATGCACGCGTATAAGCGTGACTCCGCATTATAATATTCGCGCGACACTCTTAAGCCTCATGCTAACTATACGTCTAGGCGCAAGCAGCGCGCTGCTACGAGATGGCTTAGCTTTGCCTAATTAACGCTCCGCGCCCTCGCATGCGCGCGCACAGTCGGCGCCTATTGTTTCGGGCAATAAGCTCTTCGTAAAATTTCCTAGTTTACATGTGAATGCTCGGAGAGATTTGCTCGAAAGAAAGATGCCTCGAGCACCGGCCCTCTTGTCAATTATTACACCGAGATTGGATCCTTTGTTCCGATGAGCTTGAATATGCATGATAACAACGGCATGATTGAGACATTGTTGGCGTTAAGTTATTCGCCAAGCCGTTTGGACAATTCTCGCTTCAAGGCCAACAGGTGCACGCTTGCGAGCTGTCGTAAAGATAGCAGATAGTCGTGTGCGATTGGTCGCTCACGATTTTTCAACCTGTGTATAAAAGTTCCGAACGTGTCGCGTTCGACTATTCTTCTCTCGTCTGCTCTTCTGCAACGCCACGGACAGCTCTCAATATGTGGACGAAGATTTTCGCTCTCCTCGCTCTACTTGGATATTTTTCAGTTGCAGTTGTAAGTAAGAGCGTTGCTTCTTTTCCGTATAATTCAAATCATAATGGACGTGTACATTTGGGCTTCAAGGGATACGAACGACGGCCCTATCCGGATGACTGCTCGAAATTCCAAGAATGTGATCCAACTACCAACAAATGCAATCTGAGAGAATGCGCACCCGGGGCCGAATTCGATCCAGACCTTGAACTGTGCATCATTTCGTTTGATGATGAACGATCTGACTGTCACAGATTGGATCAAAGTTCGGAATAGTACCATCGATGTTGAACATTAACAATAAATAAAAATACGCATCTATTCGCGTTCTGCTCAGTCAAGTCCTACGACCGATCGATCGACACCTTTTTTCTCAAGAAGAACTCGGCGCGAGGCGATACGTGCGTAATCCGCGAACGCGCGATGTCACGACGATGAATCATCGATCGCCGCGAACGGAAGATAAAAAAATCCTTGCAAGACACGATCGCGCCATGTTGTTTTCGCATATGTCCATCGGAAAAACCGCATTATCAAAAAGCCGCTCGTTCTTCTCTGATCCCGCGCGCGCGTCTCGTTGCTTTTCCTCGCTCTCGGCAACGCACACGCACACGCGCACACATGCTCTCCCTCTTAATCTCTCTCGTCGGTTCTACTTTTTTTGCAACGAAACGCAGGGGGAAGAAGAAGCTTATAATACGTCTCAGCGCGCAAAGTCCCAGCTCATCAATCACCGATCTCACTGTAACGCTGCAACGCCCGTTTATTTTAAACTGCCGGTGCCGACTTTTTAATACACGCGTCATTACCGCTTGGACGCGAGCAACCGGGTGTCACCGCTGTGTGTATCTTCCGCGGACGACTTGGAAAAGCTGTTCTCGCGCCAGTAGCGGCGCGACCCGTCGATAGGCGAGGCGCTCTCGAGCTGATTACAATTATCGAGGTTTCATAATCGGCCGAGGACGGCCTTCCATTTGGGAATTGTGCAATGCGTCGCTTAGCGAGACCAGTGAGCCGGTACCGATACACAGGGCGAAATCAGCTGGCGAAGGCGAGGCTCGTTACGACGCTCCCCTTTGGCGCCAGGCTCAAAAGGAGTGCGCGCGAAGGAGCTGGCCGAAGGCAATTCACTCGGCGGCGCGGTAATCTCCCGCGGTACCTACGGCTCTGAGCTTCCGCGGCGAGCGAGAGGGGCGCCGAGCGAGCCGAATTCCGGCGAGAGGATTCGTCAGCGTAACGATCTTCCTGACGCTCAGCTTCCTCTTTGCATGTGACGCCGCGACCTCCTCTCCGCTCTGCTTCTCGTCGCTCGCCGGACGCTCGTCTCGACGTGATTTCAAATGTAAGAATTGCTCGCCTAAACAGAGCCGCCGAGTATTCGTACCTCAAATCCCTCAAACTTACAACGTATGCAGCAGCAAAACGTATACACAGCGAACACCCGAGAGGAACACAGTCGCTCGCTGTTATACACAGCCAAGAGGTGGGCATGGACGCGTATAAGCGTGACTCCGCATTATAATATTCGCGCGACACTCTTAAGCCTCATGCTAACTATACGTCTAGGCGCAAGCAGCGCGCTGCTACGAGATGGCTTAGCTTTGCCCAATTAACGCTCCGCGCCCTCGCACGCGCGCGCACAGTCGGCGCCTATTGTTTCGGGCAATAAGTCCTTCGTAAAATTTCCTATTTTACATGTGAATGCTCGGAAAGATTTGCTCGAAAAAAAGATGCCTCGAGCACCGGCCCTCTTGTCAATTATCACGCCTAGATCGGATCCTTTGTTCCAATAAGCTTGAATATGCATGATAACAACGGCATGATGGAGATATTGTTGGCGTTAAGTTATTCGCCGAGCCGTTTGGACAATTCTCGCCTTATTGTTTGGACAATTCTTATCTTATCACGACAAGGTCAACAGGTGCACGCTTGTGAGCTGTCGTAAAGATAGCAGATAATCATGCGCGATTGGTCGCTCACGATTTTTCAACCTGTGCATAAGAGTTCCGAAGGTGTCCCGTTCGACTATTCTTCACTCGTCTGCTCTCCTGCAACGCCACGGACAGCTCTCAATATGTGGACGAAGATTTTTGCTCTTCTCGCTCTACTTGGATATTTTTCAGTTGCAGTTGTAAGTAAGAGCGTTGCTTCTCATCCGTATAATTCAAATCATAATGGACGTGTACTTTTCGACTTCAAGGGATACGAACTACGGCTCTATCCCCAAGACTGCTCGAAATACGAAGAATGCGATCCAACTCTCCACGGCTGCTATCTGAGAGACTGCGCACCCGGTACCGAATTCGATCCAGAAATTGGAGTTTGCTCTTGGCCGTTGCCCCAACGATCCGACTGTCAGAGATTGTATTAGAGTACTATCGATGTTGAACATTAACAACAAATAAACAGGCGCATCTATTCGCGTTTTGCTCATCCAAGTCGTGCAACCGATCTATCGACACCTTTTTTCTTAAGAAGAACTCGGCGCGAGGCGATACGTGCGTAATCCGCGAACGCGCGATGTCGCGACGATGTATCATCGATCGCCGCGAACGGAAGATCAAAAAATTCTAGCAAGACACGATCGCGCAATGTTGTTTTCGCATAGGTCGATCGGTAAAACCGCATTATCAAAAAGCCGCTCGTCCTTCTCTGATCCCTCGCGCGCGTCTCGTTGCTTTGCTTGGGGAAGAAGAAGCTTATAATACGTCTCAGCGCGCAAAGTCCCAGCTCATCAATCATCGCTCTCACTGTAACGCTGCAACGCCCGTTTATTTGAAGCTGCCGGTGCCGACTTTTTAATACACGCGTCATTACCGCTTGGACGCGAGCAACCGGGTGTCGCCGCTGTGGGTATCTTCCGCGGACGACATGGAAAAGTTGCGCTAGCGCCAGCAGCGGCGCGACTCGTCGATAGGCGAGGCGCTCTCGAGCTGATTACAGTTATCGAGGTTTCATAATCGGCCGAGGACGGCCTTCCGTTTGGGAATTGTGCAATGCGTCGCTTAGCGAGACCAGTGAGCCGGCGCCGATACACTCGGCAAAATCAGCTGGCAAAGGCGAGACTCGTTACGACGCTCCCCTTTGGCGCCAGGCTCGAAAGGAGCGCGCGCGAAGGTGCTGGCCGAAGGCAATTCGTTCGGCGGCGCGGCAATCTCCCGCGGTACCTGCGGCTCTGAGCTTCCGCGGCGAGCGAGAGGGGCGCCGAGCGAGCCGACTTCCGGCGAGAGGATTCGTCAGCGTAACGATCTTGCCGACGCGCAGCTTCCTCTTTGCATGTGACGCCGCGGCCTCCTCTCCTCTCTGCTTCTCGCCGCGCGCCGGAGGAGATTGCACGGCGGACCGATCGTGGAATCGGATCTTGGAAATTTTCATAAATCTTTCGCGCTCGGAGGAGGAGAAACCTTGTTATTTCGTTATTTATGGTGCGCGTTTGCTTCGTGTGAGTTTTAGTCCAACGTCAATTTGTTTCTTTTCGCTCTTCGTTTGTGCAGTTTTTTGCCTTGTTCTTTTCAGAATCACTACGGCATGTTATTTAGGCCAAGTAGCTGGTTTTTTCTCGCTCCGCGTGGGAGGATATACGTGGGAATATAGTCTCTCGGAAAGATGAATATGCAGTGTAGGGATAAACGAGGAATGACGTCTATTAAATTAGTAGTGCAATAGATTTTCGAATAGGAAATTGGGATGGTAGCGTGCTAAAGAACAAAGCAGCGTAGCAATAGCCAAGAAAAGGTATAAGATGAAACAGTTGAAGTGTTGAATGATTTAATGAAAAATATTTACCCGAATATTTATAAAACATTCTCCAAAAGTAAGCACATATTGTATAATTAATTGGTTGCTCGAAATGACTTTTCAAAAATAATCTTGGACGTATCTGGTGTATCAAGCTCGTTTATTTATTCAATCTGTTTCGATCCAAACCGGAGAGTATCTATACACTAATTGCGTCAATGCAATGCGGCAGATTTTAGAAATGGTATTTTTGTTTGCTTACCTATTAAAACTCGAAAATTGGATTTCAGAGATCAAAGCTAACCAAATCGCTCGAGCAAACATCATAAATCCGTTTTGATGCAATCTGCAAACTGATCTGAGTGTATTTATTTGTGTAAGACTGTGCGGATGAAGGTTTAATTAGAAGATAAATATCGTGCCAGGAAAAGTCTCTTGCGAGCTTCGATGGAAAATATGACAACGATTTCGAATCGAAAATATAAACGGGTAGTCGGCTCATGGCGCAATTGATACTTCGAAAGAGCGAAATTAATTAGCGCCGCGCGAGAGAAAGAAAGATAAAAGTTGCTCGTGTCCGCAGTAAAAATGTTCTCGTATCGGCGGCGCCTCGTCGGGCAAAAAGGCTGCTGATCACTCGCACACTCGCGGGGCTTACAAGCGTATCGGCTACAACGCAGGCGCGTCATCGGTGTGATCACGTCTCAATCATCCGCGATCCCTTGGAGATCGGCGCCTAGCCGCGCGCGGACAACACGACTCGGCGAGCGCGTATAGAAAAAGCTCGAACGTGCCGAATGTTAATTACGCGCTCGCGCGCGCGAGTGCAAAAAAGAGTCCGACTGCTGGCCGTCGTCCAGCGAATTCCACGCGTCGAGCAAAAAAACCCATCGGCAGGCTGATTAACTGGTTTTAATTAGATTCTCAATCGCGAGCGGACGCGAGGGAAAAACATCGATTTAGGGTGATTGAGATGCGCTCGCTCTCCGCCGGGGGGAGCTCGCCAATGAATTGCAGTCTATAAGAATCGCGCTCGTCGAATAATTCGATTGACACGGACTCGCCGGTGCGCGCTGCTAGTTTTTACAGAAATGCCGCGCAAAGCAAATTGCCGCTTGGAATTCACAATTATCGTTCTGACCAATTTTTAACGATGCTCCGGCGATCGCGTCCGAACTGCCGCTACAGCAACGGTAAAACGTAGTCAACCGCTGACCAGTCTCAAGTAAACATTTCGAATACATAATACATGCCCGGCCCGGCCCCGAAACATCCCGTCGACAAGCTTATGCTCCGTCGCTAACGAACGCCAGCTTTTTGTCTCTGCCACGAGCAATCGTCCACGTCTTCATCCGACTCTGAGCTCGGAGCATCAGAAATTCGCGAGGGAGCATAAATTGGCGTAAAGCGCGAGTAGCTCGGACGAGAGGCAAGGCACAATAAAAGGAGCAGAAGAAGAAGCGAGGCGCGCAGTCCGAAATGTCAAGTTGCACGAGGGCGATCTGTTAAAGCGACGTTCACACTGTCAGGAAGGCGCAACACTCGTTTGTTTTGCAGGCCGAAGCTGCAAGTGATTAATCTGCGCCGGGCGCGCGCGCATTAGCTCTTAATTTATCTCAACAAATTGCATTTTCCCACTGGCTTTCCGGCAATCGGACGCCGCTGCAGCCGCTAAACGTCGCTCGCATCCTCGTGAAAAATTCATTTTTCCACCGATGACGCTCGGACGCGTGTTCCAAGGCTGAGCCTGCTTCCGCGTCTGCTGCTCGATGCCAATGGCTTTTATTCTCGACGCCTATGTATATATTTTTAGGGAGGTGATGAATCGTCGGCCGTCCAGATATTCGATTACCATTAATCTTTTTTTTCTCCTCTTCCTTCGTTGCTCGACGAAAAGTAATTTACGCGTTTTGACGCGAGCAGTCGTCCGTAATTGATCGTCAAGTACCTAACGAGAGTATCCGAATCGAAGCAGACTGGATTTGCCGTGGCCAATATGAACGGAGCTTGCGCGAAAAAGGAAACCGATCGCTCGACCGCGCGCGATCGCGGATCCCGTAGTCTGCGCTTTTTTCCCCGTTGTCTGCTCCCGCTGCTGCTGCGCGCGAGGCAACGTCCACGCTCCCGAATCTCGCTGGCGTCCCGTTCGCGGGCGCCGCTTAATTAAATACTGCGAGTTTTTGCCGAGCGAGGGCCGACGTCGCGACGCGCGCGTGCCGCCTGTGCGCGCGCACGCACGCACGCACGCACACCAGCTTCTTCTTTTCTTCGTAGCCGAGGTGTTTATCAATATTATTGGCACGTGCGTCCACGTTCTTCGAGACCTTCATGAATAGTTAATTAGAAAAAGCGAGACCGACGATATTGCGCGAGGTATGTTCGCCTCGACAAAAATTGTTGTTAATGAGCGACGCAACGGAGGTGAATGCTTCTTCTTACGTGCGGCCGCGTTACGAACGAGTCGGATTGTATATATGCCGGTAGACAACGCGAGGCGTGCAGTGCCAAGCAATGACCGCTCGCTCAGTCCGCGTCCAATTAATCGCCAACAAATGATTAGCGGAAATCGACGCGAACTGCCCAATTCTCGCTAAAGCGCGTAAAGTATCATTTGCATACGACGGAACGGCTCCCCTTTACCAAGTACAATTAGAAGATTTCCAGCAAGTCTCTCTCTTTCGCAGTCGCGCGAGCCGAACTTGCCGCAAAATCAGTGGCAAGCACGAATGGAATGTTAATCACTCGCAAATACGAGATCGGGGAGGGCGCGACTAATTTTAGTTAGTTTCGCACGAATGAAGACGAGGAAAAAAGTGTTTGGCGCGCTAGTTTGGAACGCGCGCGCCGTATTCCGGGAAAATAAACAGATTATAATTAGTAGCGCGTGTCAAGACGACTACGCGCGAGCCTTCTGTCGGCGCGGCGCGTATGCCCTCGAAGTGAGCTCTTTGGCGCCTCGCAGCAATGCTCCCCTCGACAATAGCGCCGAGCCCTTCGCGGCCGAATCTCCGCTGGAACGAAAGCGACAACGAGCTTTCGCAAGCTGAAAAAGCGCTGATGTCGTCGTCTCACGCGCGCTAGTTCGTAGTACCGTGAAGCCGGACGTCCGGCTGCGTTTCACGGGGCTCATCACTTCTTTTGATGTGCGAATTCGCGGGATCGCGCGCCGAATGAAATATATACATATATAAAGCCAGCGCACATACCGCGGAACGCTGCCAGTCGGTCTCTCTTGATACAGGCTGCACTTCTCCGTCGGCCACTCTGTTTTACTGGTCAGTTCTTCACTACCGCGAAAAACTCGAAGCTCTGTCCGCAAAAGAAAAGCAATCGTGGCAGCGTTACAATCAGACGTGAAAGGGCGAAACGCCGTCGCCGGCCAGAAATTCCCTTTATCCGAGACACAGTTCGAGCCGCCGATGCCGGCAAGATTCGCTCCTGAATTAGACAATTAGCGATATCGCTGCGAGTTCGCTGGCGACGCGACGGCACATTGTCGACAATGAAGCAACCCGCCTGTAGAGCATCGCGCGCGCACACACACACACACACACACACACACACACACACACGCGCGACACGCGACGAGGCTAAGCGCGTGACGAAACGCCAAGCTAAAAAGCAGCCGGCAGTTGAAAGGTAGACGAGCGTTGGCCGCAACGACGAGCGCGGAGGACACAAGTCACTGCCGCTAAACTAACGAGAGCGCGAGAGAGCGGGTGGCAGGCGCATAATTCACCGCGAGTTAATTGGCGCGCGAGCGCGCGCGGCTGCCTGCGTTTGTCAAGGCGCGCTTTACACTTCTCTCTGCTTGTCCTACGATCGCTTATGTACCATATCTGACTGCGCTTTGTGCGATCCGAGAAAAACTTGCGCACCGGAACTTTCGTCATTGTTATTTGTCGGAATAGACTTTTTTACTTTCAAGCAGCATTGCTTTTTCATTGTCTTTTCGTGCGACCTACGAGCATATTGTTACGACCAATTCGTGATTTATGTTTTTTTTCTAATAAAACACAATTTGCTACCAATGGACGTTGAACAAGGTATTTTCAAGTGATCAACAAATGAGATATATCTTTGCTAAAAATAATAGTTAATCAGAGACCAGCTAGCACACTTTCTTCTTGTTTATCAAGCATCCGCTTCATGATTACCGATAGTTTCTTTGCTAATGATCAACTAAAGGAGAACTGAATCAATAGCATAACATGGAGTTTAAGACTTTCAAAGTGCAATTCGAATGATAAAATGTTAAAAGTTAATTTTATTCGAGAATCAATCTTAAACGAAATTATTTTCACGAGTTTTCCATGCCCAAAATGTAAAGGAAAAAAATGAGTTTTGCATTTTCTGTTGATCGACATTTATTCCCAGCATAATGAGGTCATTATAAAAGTACAGGATAATTCATTGGGAAGTCCTTTGATCCGAACACATAAATAAATAAATAAATTTCTATACATGGAGAGAATCCGAGCGCGAGCAGCCAGAGCCACGCGCGCAGTGATACAACTGCAAACATCAAAAACATGGTATTCTCGGGCAAGAGACATGCCCGCGACTCCCGCATTGACAAAAGCAATGTCGAACAGCGAGTCGAGCAGGCGGTGTATCGAAAAAATACAACAATAGCCTCAGCGGTCACTGCTTTTGCTGGCTAACAAGCGTGCACGCTCACGCACAGCATGGGTCCACGCCGAGGAGCTGCAGGCCTTTTTATCTTGCTTTTTTATACGCTGTCTCTTGTATGGCCCCGAGGTCAAAGTGTAGGTGCACTGAGGGTTGACATTCTTCGAGTCTCGGCCATATATATAAGCAAGGACACGGATTGTAAGGCTATGTAGAATCGGAAGGATCGCACGCTTTATACGTTTCTTCCCTTCTTCTTAGATCGCTGCAATAGTTTTGCGATGCTTCTTAATCTTGTGAATGGCTATTTCTTGCGTGATACATTAAATCAATTTTTGTAACAACCTATTTGTACACGGTGTTATAGCATATCAATTTATTATACCAAAATGACAGATAGGGCTATGCATTTTTCAAAATTATTTTATGTTACATAGTATAGGCCTCCTTGATAACGTCCATGATATAATGTCTATAATAATCTACACTTATGAAACATGATATTACAGGTACATCTGAGCTAATCAATGGCGGTTTAAATATACCGACAGCGACGCCAACTAGTGAGTTGTCTGATATCACAACTAAAGGACCTCCGCTATCACCCTACGAATGTATTAATAAGTATCATCGATCTCTAAAATTGTTTTGATAGATGAAAATGCATTGTTATATACTTACGTAACCTAAAGCGACAGTTGGACTTGCTAATGTATAGTAAATGCTATGACTGTGAGTAAAAGATCGTGTCGATGTTTTCATTGAAATTTCTTTGTATTCGTCGTAACTAATCACTGTCATGTAGCCCTTCATTAGCGAATCTGGATACACGTTGACTGTTTCATTAATAGAACCCCAGCCGACAGTCGCAACTCTTTTGCCGATGACTTGTTTGTATTTCAAACTCGAAAGTGTTACTGGCTTTATGTCTTTGACATCCTCCGATAACTGGCAAATGTTTAAAAGTCAAACTTTACAGCAGTATTCATAAATAGCAGTTAGCCAGAACATTAATTTAGTGGACCACCACATCTACTACTTACTGCAATAATGACAATGCCGTTGTTTTTTTCATCGTTTGTCGCATTACCATGATCTATCAGCCAATCGTCGTAAGTGATCCACGATTCCATTTTGTATACGGATGCACTGACAATGAACGAAACGTTGAAGATGTTCTCGTCTATGCAGTATTCAGCCGTAATCACATGCTTCTTGGAGATTAACGTACCACCGCAAAAGCATCTTTATCTGAGATATTACTAGAACCGCTTAGAGTCACAAAGAAAGGAAATTCGCCTAATTTTGCCTTCTCCACTGCTGCTCCTATTATTGGATTAGCATTAGACAGCTCGCAATCTGATGTAGATAAACAAGTGACATTTAGCATCGTCATCTAGTCTCAATCGATTAATATTTATACCCACAAAGCACCATCCAATAAATGAAGAGGTGTAGTAACTTTTTGAAAGTCATCGTTGACTTTTAGTTATTTGTATCCATCCACTAAATAAACTAGAAGAAGGTGCTTTGCAGTTGACGAACTTATAAAGCGGCAAGTTTGGTGTTGCCGATACGAAAGAACGTGCCCAACCAATAAAACGTTAATGCTACGCGATACGACTAACCGGCCTTTATGGTTGACGGAAAATTATTATTCTGTCGTGATATTGTTCGCATCACGAGTTGTAGCTTTAGCGCGCAAGGTCCGAAAAGCCGATTCCACGGATGTACCCCGCGAGCTCGCAGCGCCACAGGCGCGGCTGTTTTACCGAGAGTCAAAAAATCCTCGGCGAATCGGTAGCAGGCGAGCGGGGCATATATTATTAATCCGTGCGCGCGTCCTCCTTCTGCACTCGACTCCCTTCTTCTTCTCCATTCGAATGATACTTTATTGTGCCGCCCGAACTCTTTATAATCCGCGGTGGCGGTGGCGGCAACAATAATGTGATTTATCGGGTCGCGTCTTCTGCACGTCGTGTCATCGCGCGGCTTCTATTATCACGGCGCGTGAGTGCCCCTCTCTTTCATACGTTATTGATGCGCACCCGCTACGCCCGAAGGACGTGCAATGCGCAAGATTGTCGCATGCCATTGAATGCCGCCAGCCAAATGTAATTGATCGCCGAAGACGATTTTCCAAGGATTTTTCGCGAAGCGAGCGAGACCTCTATTTTTCTTTTCTTCGTGACATTACATTTGAAATACGATTTCGTTCGTCGTTCCAATGAAATGCTCATTAACATACACCGTAACGCACCCGAGTGCGCGAACACTGATTAACAAGCATGTGATTAATCTGTTTTTGGTCTAACTCGAGCGAGGCAAGCTCGTCGATCATCGTATCCCTGCGCTGAAAAGAGAAAAGGAAGGCAGACCCACGGAACTCCCTTAATTTTTCACGTCGTTACAACGGCCCTTCGTCGTCGCACGATGTAGTCCGAGGAGAGAAAGAGAGAGACAACTCGACGTTATACATTAATTATTCAGCGTGTACAGCTAACGTTAGCCCTTAAAATTGTCGTGACAAGGCGGACGACACGACGACGCGCTGAAATTAGAAACTCTAGGCTGAAAAATCGCGCGAAAAGGAAGGGGAACCGAGTTTAAAGCTTTTACCCTCCATTCATTAATTATCTTTGCTTGGAAAACATTGATGATGTATCAGCGGATAATTAAGCGACGGTTGCTGCTGCTACGTTAAACTTGTTCAATTAGCCGAATTCCTCCGTTCTCATTTTCTTTTTTTTTTTTTTTTTTCGAGTCGTTCGTTTTCTTTTCCTGCTCCGTCGCGAGCATTTTATTTCAAATCGACATCTCCAATGACTTACTGCAGTTGCAGCACGTCTTTTGCTCTTTCAAGGAAACCGTGTGGAACCGAGCAGCGGCGAAAATCCAAAACAATGGGCACGACGTAATCGCGATTAATTGTCGAAACTATAGGCAATCTGGTGCCAAGTGTAGGCAGCTGATCGTTATTACACGCATCGGCGGCAAGGCTCTCTCACTTGCATTTACGAGCGCTGGCGACGCCTGCGGAACTTTGCTCTGGCGTTTTAACTTTATCGCGCGCGAGCATATGACTTTACGATCGCGCAGCAGCTAAATATGCCTCGGGCCATCGTAAAATTAACGGCGGCCAGCGTTAAAACTCGATAAAAGCCAATAAAGCATCTCACGCTTATTCACTCGCTCTCACGTGCGAAGTCTCGAACGATATATATACGACATTATTTATCGGGATCTGTCGCTTACTGCCATAGCTCTACGACGCCTTTCTTTTGTCGAGCACCTTTTTCTTTCTTTTTTCAAAATCGCTCGCAAGCTAGTCGACGGACTGACAATTAGTTGAGATTGAGATTATCAAATGTGTCTTTGGTCATTTGCTTTTGCAAATTTTATAAACGTACATATATACAATATTCAGTCTCGATGTTTGATAAAAAATTAGGTTCAAGGACCAGTGACAATGATACAGTGGCCCTCGTGAGCAAACTTAATATTTTCAATTCTTTATATGTCAGAACTTTTTATCAATAATTTGATGATTGGCTGTTATTATGTGCAACTTAATATTATTATACATTGCAGAATTGGTTTCAAACGAAATTATATTTAATTCATAAAATTGACGTTGTCAATAATTTTATGACAACAAATGTACAAGCAGGTACCGCGGTATACCAGCAATCCTTATACGTCCGATCAACAAGCTCGAGGCAAGTAGCGTCGCGAATGAAGTTGCCATTCGAATTTGCAAATTCCTTGCCACTCTCGGTCTCCGTGGACTTGACCATTCTAACATCCCCCTCGTGTGCTCCGCTTTTATATTATACGGCAGAGCGAAAGAGAGAGAAAGTTGATTCATGAAGACGCGATGGACCTCCTTGGGATCGGCGCCGTTTTCCCCAGCGGGTGGTCTCGCAGGTTGATTTCTTGTTTCTTCTTCTGCTGCTGCTGCTGCTGCTTCTGCTGCTGCTTTTGCCGTCGCTGCAACTCCTCCGATCGAATACTCTCTCTTTCTTTCTGTCCTCGTTTGCTCCTCCTTTTGTTCCGCGAAAATGCCGACTACATACTATCTTCAAAGTTACGCTGAATGGCATGGAATTTTAAAGGAATTAGTTTTGTCGGCCAAAGGCGAACTACCTATGTTCCTTGACGCGATCCATGATATACTCAATAATATTTTCCGTCAGCAATATCCCAAACATTTGTCCTGTACATAAAAATGTAAAGCAGTATCAACGCGAGAAAGATAGAACTAATCAGTTTAGATGTATCTTGAGGCTCAATGCGTGTTTTCATGGCCGCCAATGTCGACTGAAATGTTCGCTAATAACTAAACTTGTCCCGTAGCCACCCAGAAGCAAGCATGTATCGCTTCGCTTTGCATTTTTATAAGTACAAGCCGAACGAGATCTTCCGAGAACGGCGGGCAGCGAGGACGTTTCATATTCATCCGCGTCCCCCTTCCTCGTTCTTTTTCGCGGGCACGCAGACCTATTGTTCGACCGGTCCAAGTCGATTAGTCGTTAGTCTCCTCGACAAACTCGGTCAAATCTCGAAATGCCATTATTTCTTCTTCTTCTTCTTTCTTTATTCGTCTGTCGTGTTTTTCATGGAATATGGATGAGCGCATTATTAGCCGGAAGGAACAGGTGTTTTCGAACGTCGCTGATCGATGCCGATTCTCTCTTAAGTTTTGGCCTCGTTCTTTCTTTGCTTTTATTTAAGCCAAAAGTGAAATCATTGCAAAGACTTACAGACCGTACAATTATCTCTTCTTACTAAAATACCTTTTGAATCGTTGATCAATCGAGCTTTCTATTTTCTCGCCCATTTATTCTCTGTTTCATGCATAATAAATTCACCATCATAGCTAGATATTTAAAAAGTCCTGACGATATAGCGCAGAGTTTATTTTCAACGGAACAATCAATAATGCGAGAGGAAAATATAGGTGCGGTAGAGGGGTGATAAAAGTCAATGAGGAATAAGCAAAGTCAATGATTTATAGATTTCGTAATGATTTCGTTTATTGCGAAAAGGACGCAAAGGTCCACCCCGACGTACTCAGCTGCCAATGTGGCATCTCACGTACAATCATAATAATTAATAATTCACTAAAACAGGTTATGTCTGCGCTCGTATGCAACTGTGTGTATGCGTGTGTATTCGTCTCATCGCGTTCCTCTTTCTTTCGGAATGAGCGTACACGTCTTTCATTTTTTTTAGTAGCAAAGGCGCACTATGAAACCTTTCGGACACGAATGACTATGAAGGTGACGGCGATTATTCAGCAATGCAGCAAAGCCGAACAGCGACGACAACGACGACATGATCGATGATGTGCGTCGGCGTTGCGTCACGGCTCCTTGACCAAGTACAAAAGCAAGCCTTTTCCCTCTCGCGCTCTCTGCATTTTCTGCGCAAACTCGCGCGCACACTCGTACGCGCTTGTTTCGAGACTCAAGGGAATATATAGAAACGTCAAGGAGGCGGGACGCCACGGGAAGTACGATTAATTGGGACAGATTGCGAGGCCGAGCGCCGGAAAGAGCCGATTATTTCGCGCCCGAGAGAGCAAAGTCTTATCTCGGCGCACGCGAACCACTTGCAATCCGCCTTAGGTGCGCCATCCGAAAAATCAGCTCGGTGCACTGTCGACGACAATGACTTTTAATAATAAACGAATGAGAGAACGCGAGGAAGACACTTGGTCGTCGCCGTCGTCGTGGTCGTCGTGGTCGTCGTCATCATCGTTGAATAATCGCCGTCTCTGCGCCTTTATCATGGAATTATTAATTTGTCTCGTCGTCGGATAATCATGATTACTTGTTTTATAATCGTTCGTAATGTGCCTACTCTACATACAATACATACATACCGGGACTACCGGGCGCACGAAGCCGCGGAGTCTCAGAGTTGATCAATTGTGTTTTCCTCTTTCATTCCTTGACTACTATATACAAACGCATAAATAATATCAATAATTATATATATATATATATATATATATATTTGTATTTATTTATAATATTTATATTGGTTTCGCCTAAATGGAGAATATTTATCGTGATTCCTTTTTTTCTTTAAAAACTGTCAGCTACGGATTATCAGGTATCCCCCTCATTCTCATCTTCGCAGTTCGAACATTCAACGTTTACGCGTGTTTCGTTGGCTCACGGAGAGATGCTGTATGCGAACGCGAGACGAGCGCTATACATATATATTTATATATATATAAAAGAGTGCCGTTTGTCCAAAAATCACAGCACAAAAAATGTTGTCGAGAATCTGCAGTCGAACTCTTCACATAAACTCCAATGACGAAGTAAAAAACAACAAAACTCTTTTCAAGCCATAACAAATTCTCAACGCAAGTATATTCAATAATTAAACTAACGAACACGATCCTAAAACCTAGAGCAGGTCTGAAAACTCACGAGATGGTGGTGCGGTCTTTTTCATCGAGATTGTCATTGTTGATGTCGCCCGTGTGCGACGAAAACGCAGCCAAAGGAATGGTCATCAAACTTGTAAGTAGCACCCATTTAAAAAGTTTGACGATCTCGAGAGCTTTCAGAGCGAGATCGCAATATACGCAGTCTTGCGCTAACAAGTAAGCCTGCAACGCGTCGCGCGAAGAAGAGACAGGTCCATCGTGTCTGTGAGCCAACGCGCCCAAACGGACGAGGAATAATACAGTTGCGCGCGCGAGCGAGGAAAAAAGAAAAAAAACGTGAGAGATAGAGAACGAGAAGGAGATTAGACGAGGACAGAACCGCGAGTCGGTCGATGTGTTTTATTATCACGTGTCGCTTTGTAAACTTGTTCCTTTCATTAATTTGTCTCTCATTTGTCGGCCTATTTACAAGTCTTTCGTTATTGTCAGCGCGCCGCCGCTTAGGCTTGTGTAAAAAGCTTATCGGTCGTCCGTCTCTGTCGATCGGAGCGTCTAGGTGGATCATCAGACGCGGCCAGGCGACTTGAGCTCCGCGAGTCCAGGGTTCGGCGAGCCATTGGACGAGGCCGTCGACGAGGACGATGGCGAGACGGTCGTCAGCACCGGTGCCTGCACCGCCGAGCCGTTGAACGCTTTCGGCAGCGACGACGACGACGCCAGTAGACTGGGGGCGCTGGCCGGCGGCATGACGCCGAACGTCCTCTGATAGGTCTCCAGCAGCGACATGTCACCGGAGGCCAAGTGCGGTGCGGCGTAGAAATTGCGATAGAAGTCCGGATGGGGCCTGACGAACTGGCTGGCCGGGTGCATCGCCGGGTGCAGGGGGTGCGGCAGCCGGCTGGCGAGTGGACTGACGATCTTGCCGCCGCCGTTGTTGCTGCCGCCGTACGGCGAGCCAAGCACGCTGCCGGCGTTCGGACTCGTCGAGTCGCCGTCCTTGCTCGCCATGTCGGCCAACGACCAGATCCTCGGCTTGGTCGTCGCGCTGGTTGCCGAGGTGCTGGTGCTCGCCGGCGAGGTGGTCAGTCGGCCGTGGGGCGACGTGCTCATGAATGCCGGATGATGCATGTGCAGCGGATGCCTCGGCGGCTCGCGCTGCTCGTACAGGCATTCCGGACTGTCGGGACCGCTGTCCGCTCGGGACTCGCTCCACTCGCGGTCGGCCACGCCGCCGGCGGCGCCGCCGCCGCCGCCGCCGCCGGCGTGCAGCAGATCTAGTCGATGGCTCGCCGAGCCGCCACGCTCGCCGTCCTCGCTCGAGCCCGTTCCCGAGTCCTTCGAGTCTGTAATCAGCAGGCAAACGAGTGTTTGCCCGTTAGCCGCTCGGTCGTCTTCGAGGATCCTGCAAATCGCTCGCAGCTTCCGCAGTACTCACCTAATCGATCTTTCTCGTCGACGCTTTTTCTGCCGCTGTCGTCGTCGTCGTTGTTGTTGTCCTCTTCCTCTACCCTGTTCCTCGGCTCCCACGTCATTTTGTTCTCCTTCTTGAGCCTGCGCCTCGCGTTGGCGAACCACGTGGACACCTGCGTGAGCGTCATCTTGGTAATGATGGCGAGCATGATTTTCTCGCCTTTAGTCGGATATGGATTCTTCTTGTGCTCGTTCAACCAGGCTTTCAGCGTGCTGGTCGTCTCGCGCGTCGCGTTTTTTCGCCTCGCGCCATTCAAGTCCATGCCGTAGCTGCAACACAGCGGCCGAACAAAAAAAAACGGTCAAACGTCGGCTCTCTCTTTTTCTTCGGCAATGCACGCGGAGAGTTGAGTCGCTTGTAGGGTCAAGATAAAAACAAAGAAGTTTGAGGGGGGGTAGATGCCGAAGAAGAAAGTTGGCGGCGGCAAAAGTTATCCAATCGCGAGACTCGTTACGCCTCTCTACCGTATAAAAGTCGAGCGAGCGCGTTCGCCTAGGTATATAAGCGTCGGGTATTACTTTCGTCCCGAGATCTCTTATCTAACGGTTTAAGCTTCTCTCTCTCTCTCTCTCTCTCTCTCCCTCTCTCTACCTCTACCTCCTGCTCCTCTTACTCGCTGCTGCTGGCTGCTGCTGCTGTCCCCTCTCGTATACCTCGGCAGAGTAGCAGCCGGATCCCATTACTAAAAGACTAACCCTTATCAAAGATTAAACTTCGGGGGTATAACTGCTGAATCGACGGGATCGAAATTAAATTTTCCTACCGCCGAAATCCTTACGGAGCCGCCGCCGCCGCCGCCGCCGCCGCCGCCGCCGCCACCGCTGTAAGTACAAGTTAAGAGACGTTGCCATATAATTCTTTCACTTGTCGCCTTGCTGGAAGAGACAAAAACGCGGCTGGGCGCGCGTTATTGAGCTTTATGTCAAGCGCGCGGTGCTAAGAGGGGACTGTACTACTCTTGACGACAGCCGCGTGCAAGAGCGAGAGATATGGGAAATTAATAAAACTGTCACTTACGCCTGCGTGGATTTAGGAGACACCCGACACTTTTCCCTTCTCACCCTCTCTCCTTCGCGTTTGCGTGCGCGCACACACACACACACGCACACACACGATATAAACATTTCAATTTTAGAGGCTCTCGTCGGACGAGCAGACGGAAACGTCCGTCGTTCGACTCTCGATGAATGCATTAACGTCGGTCGCGCCGGGAATGTTCCGGGGAGCGCGGGGGTGGCTCTCGCTCGAGTATCGTCGAGCACCCGAACGCGCCTGTCGCGCGCATTACGTACAGTTCGCTTGCGTCAGCTATCCAAGTGGCGCGCGCCCATTCGATTGGCCAGGTACGACTTGAGCGCCGGTGAAAGTACGCGTGCGCAGCCCGTCGGAAGCGCCAAATCGAAATTTCATTTCTCGCGCGCGCCCAGCACCATCCGGCGGCAGCGTCGACGACAAAGGCGAGGAAGGACATTCGCTCCCGTAACAGCAGCCAGTCGAGAGGCAGAGGAGAGCTTAATTTCCTCTTTCTCTGTTTAACCCTGGCGAATGGCGTTCCGCAGTTATTTTGCGAATCCCAGCGACGCCACGTCGGGTAGGGAGCGGATTAAAAAGTCCGCGCGAGCCAGTTTGTTTCTCGTGATAACGCGCGCAAACACAGGGAGTCCCTACAAAAATGCGTCCCTTGCCTCTCATGCGCGAACTGATCGCATCAGCGTGCTGCTGTGTTTCCATGGCGATTGCTAATCGGACCGTTATATATGCACGCCCCCTTCCTTCTCAGAGTGTACGTCCGCGCCTCGCGTCGCTCGTGTCGCTCTATTGCAGCTCGCCTTTGTCCAATTCCTCGTCGCGGCCTTATTAGCTGCGGCCGACCGCTCGTTTCGCGCCAGCCTCGCATTGATGTGCCCAATCGCCGAGGAATCGATACATCTGGGACTAATGGCACTCTCGAGAGGCAGAAAATATGGCAAAGGCCGCGGCGCTCGATTTCTCAACGTCGCTCCTGTGAGTGGCCGCCGCGATGATAATTTGTATCGTTAATCGATTAACGTTGTTCGCCGGCTGATTCAGACAATTACCGCCGCTGTGGGAAACTGATAAGCTCGCCGCGCCGGATCAAAAACTTTATACCGCCGTCGCAGGCAGGTTCGTGCACGCTTTTTGGAAAAAAATATATATACGATCCGGCCGTCGTCTCATTATATGCAAGTGTGTCAGAATTAATTTATTTCAATCATACCGTGCGCGTGCGCGTGTGTTAGTATGTCTACGACAATAGAGAAATTTATCTTATTTACGATTACACCTTCATCGCACGCAACAAACGTTGCCCTTCCATCGTACACTCTCTTTCTCTCTCTCTCTCTCTCTCCCAAAAGAAAAAACAGAGCAACGTTAACATAATTCTCACTGGCTTATCTACAGCAAAGCGATAAGCTCTAGCTGCGATGTTATCTCTTTGAAATCCATTAGCCGACTGCTCTCTCTCTCTCTCCCTGACCTCCCCCGCCCGCCATTTTCTAAAAATACGACTCGTCAGAACAAAAAAAAAGATGGATAGATAGCGCTGTGTCTGTGTGATTTGAGTTGGACATGCGAAAGGAAGCCCCAGCGCGCGCGCGGAGTGAACGAGTAGCGATCTGTAATTGAATTAGTACGACTTTCCGAGCAATAGACGTGTATACAATTTGATTTCCTGGGCGCGAGTTACGAAACATATACGCGCACATGTGACTATTAACAGTTATATATATAGAAATGTGCCGCGGAAGGTGGGGGGGGGGGGGGGGGGATATATACGAGGCAGGTGCGCAACTCGTATGTATGTTGCTCGTCGCTGCTCCGCCCCTCATTAGGACAGCCGGCCTTTCGAGGGCTGATAGAACCCTCCCTTTTTTTCTCTCTCTCTTTCTCTCCGTTGCTTTCCTTTGAGCGATGAATTCGATGTTTCAACTCGACTCGAAAGTTATGTTAATGCTCTCTGATGGCCTGTCGCTAATTACGTTATTAATTACATATATGTGTTTCGTCATAATCGAGGTGACATGTGCTTGGATAATTTTTCGATAGTATAATTTGGCGCACATACAGGCGCGACAGTTATAAGCTAATTGAAGCTTTTATTTCGCTCGAGAATACCGAAAATACGCTAGTAAATCCTCTCCAACGAGCGAGCTTCGCGCCGCAGCCATGCGATACGTGCAAAAATCACCTTGTCATTCCCGCGTTCTATACCTATTCTTTTTACTCCTTGTCTCGCGTGACGCCATCTTGCAATATCAGCTTGTCTATACGGGTTTAGCTGCCCCCCCCCCTCCACTTTTTTTTTATTGTTGTTCCTTTTTTCGTTGTGTCTTGTTTTTATTTATGCACGCACGCATGCGCCTGCGTTCGTTCATTTAATCTTTTTGAGTGCACATCAGCAGCTCTCCTGGGCGAGGCCCCGTGGATTTAATCAGGCGCGAAGCCCCGCCGCCGACGTGTCCGTTTCAACGGGCGCCACCATCATAACGCATTTTACATACACGTGCGCCTGTGTCTGAGAGGCTCGCATCATTGGATATGCGAGCTTTGGAATGTCGCCCGTTCTTTCCTTTTATTTGCCAAAGGTGGATATATTTTTTTTATTTTTTTTTTATCCGAGAGTTGTTGTACGCGCGCTTCAAGAAAGAAACCGATAAGCGAATGAGAAAATCTCGATGGACAAACGTACGAACGAGTAAACTCTGTTTGCTGTAATCTAGTGAATGTCGGAATGAAGTGTCAAAGTTGAAACGACGAGAGAGAGAGAGAGAGAGAGAGAGAGAAGGCGTAATTAAAACGCGAATGCACAGATTCGGCTGTTAATGATAATGAAAGATATGTACAAACAACTGCTGAAACATCGGGCACTGTGCGACAAATTTCCTTGGCTCCATTCGCTCTCCCGAGAGACTTACTGCACGAGAGGTCATTAATTCTCGTTCTCACTCAATAAAAGTCTAAACAGCCTAAGCACTTCCGAGAGACAAGGTCTGCGCCACTTGCGCGCGTGTAAATATAACTTCTCTCCTTGCGTGCATACGAAAACTTTTATAACTTGGTGGAAAAAAAAGAAGAAAAGAAGGAAAGAAAAGAAAAAAAGAGGCTTGAGCATAGATGTCGAGCGCACACGTACGCGGCCGAGCCGCTAGATTGCCAACTGTTACAAGGTTGTCCTTTATTAGCCTATTGGCAATTTCGCAAACGCACGAGCGCGCAGGGAGCGCGTTCGAGCGGCGGGCGCCACAGCCGAATTGCAGGCGTCAACGATCAAGCGCGCTTTTATCGCCGGCAGCCATAACTCGTTTATCATTAGGATCGACGCGTGTACGTATAATCCCGCGCGAATCGACGAGGCGAGTCAGCCGCGCTCGGGGCTTCCAGTGCCGGCGCCCGGCCTGCCGCGACCGTTAATAATTGTAGTGGATTTGCATCGTATTGTTTATTCGTATTCTTTACGCGTGTTGGCACGAGCCGCCGATTCGTATACGCGACCCCCGGCTTGTACGGCAGATTTGCATTGCATTGTCGAATGCTCTCGGGCAGCGCCGAAATTGATGAGCCTCGCGGATTATTGTCCTCTCCTTTATGCCATCGCGAATTAAAATTTTCCTTTTCCACTCGCGACCGATTGTGCGCTCGCAATTGTCAGCTCTGATTTGAGCGAGCACTCGGTGGACGCACATGTGTACGGGAGTCCTGCGGCGTGTGATTTATGCTTCTCGGTAAAAATGTGCGCGGGCACACGCCCAGCATCCTCCACGCTCGGGAGAAAAGAACTGCAGAGAGAGAGAGAGAGAGAGAGAGAGAGAGAGAGAGAAAGCGAGAGAGGACAAACAAAAAAAAAATACACGAGTCAGCCTCGACGTGCTCGCGCTGGAAACCAAGCGGCTTTTCGGCTGCCGAACCCCTTTTCTTATACACATACATATATAGCAAAAAGTGAGTGTGAGAGAGAGAGAGAGAGGCAGGCATCTGGCTCATTAAACACCCGTACATCATCCTAACGCCATGGGCTCCGTCATTAGTATAGACCTGCAGATGCGCCTCGTCGAAGAGACGAATACGCTGCGTGCTCGCATTTTCCAGCGGCCGTCGCGCGAGTTTCAGTTTTGATCTTTTGCACTGCCGATCGCCGAAAATCCAGTCGGGATTATTTTGGACTGTATCGCCGGCGACGAAGACGCGGAACAGAAGTCGAAGAGCGCGACGATGTAGCGCCGCGCTCTACTCCCCGAATGGGACCCGTGGGGCGTCGCGTTGCCGTAACAAGATGACAACCAACTGTCTCTCTCTCTCTCTCTCTCTCTCTCTGTCGCCTCGTGTTCTTAATCTCGCTTAACGACTTTTTGAAGGAAAAAAAAGAGAAGAAAGAGGCCTGCCTGTGTGTCGGTCTGTGAATCGCTTATTTCGTGGCACGCTGGAAATAACACGCATACCCTTTATCGTACAACAATCTGCTTGACGATTGCGAGCTAAGAACGGGCTTTTTCTTTTACGCGAGATTTGCCATGTATTTGGCATGAGCGACGTTTTCTCTCCCTCTTTCTCTCCGCAGAAAAGCCACTCGACGTAAAAGGCATTCTCTTCGCAGCGTGCATATTGCGCAAAAACGAGCGAGCGCCATTAGTCGCACTCAGGCGAGTCGTGGGTATTGATTCGCTCGTCGCATCGGATGCGACTGCTCGCGGCCGGGAGAAAAACGTTGATCGGCGCTCTTTAGGCCGGCATCGCAAATCAGACGCGATCCCTCATTCTACGGGCGTCGCACGCGTAGACAATCGAACACGTACAAGACACATATCCGCGCTCATATTAATACGATGTAACACACATACACATATTGTGATTATAGCTGGATAAGTCGGGCCCGGAAGTGCGAGCCGAAGGCGAAGGCGCCGGAAAGATGAGTGTACAGACCGTTATTATCGGGACTCGGCTCATTGTGTATAATATGTGACTAAGTCGGCAGTAGCCGCGAGTGCGCGACGCGCGAATCGATGATTTCCTAAAAGCCGCGCGCCTCGTGTTGACTTTGTAATTTAGCCGTTGTCGCAATGTTTGACTTGTCGAGTGAAAGAAATAAAAGAGGATCTCTGGTGCGAAACCTCGCTGATCGGAATACCAATTGTGCGCTAACGAACGCGCTGCTTATGCCGCAAATTATGCGACTTTCTGGAATCCTTTGCCGCCGGTAAGGTGGGATCTTTCGGCTCGAGACGCTCGACGATCTCGAGGCGAGGCTGGCGACAACGACGAAGAACCGTGCAGCGCCGCGCTCGTCATTGCAGTATCGAAGCCGAGAAGAGAAGACATGTTTGTACGTCTTGAATGAAATGTTTGCCAATTGTATCGCCGAGACTGGTCAATTCGCCGATAAACTTGCGCGGCTCTCGATCGACGCGCCGAGAGTTTCTTGGCACGACTTTTTTTTTTCCTCTTCTCTTTTTTATTGTTATGCCCGAGAGAAAGAAGGCTCATTGAATGTGTTACAATCGTGGCTACAAATTGATTAAGAAAAGTGAAATATTGACGCTGGCATTATCGTAGGAGCCGAGCATACGGAGAGAAAGCCTTTTATCGCGAGTGCGCGCAGCATCCTATTGAAGCGAGCGTAAAGATAACGAGCGAGCGCCACGTTCGGCAAAACATTGGCGGGAGAAAGAGACGCTCTTATTAATTGCCGCTAGCGATTAACAATTAATTATATAAAGCGCGAGGGGAGAAGCAGTTCGATAATATATGAATGGCCGTTGCAGACGATCCGATAAACGTCTCCAACGTTGTCGCTCTCTATATCCAACTTTGGCAGGTGGATTTAGGAAAGACCGATTCCTCGTGTCGAGTGTGTCGTTACGTAAAGGAGGTGGAATCGACTCACCAATTGATATGTAAAAACGGCCGCAACGCGAGAGTGCGATTATCATAAAAGTCCACGTGCGAGAGAGAAATAGAGAGAGAGAGAGAGAGAGAGAACGACTTGACTTATAATCCGATCGCGAGGCACTTCTCGGCGTTCCACTTGTACGCCACATCATCGCTTAATCATTTACAAAAATATCTCCACTTGTCGTCTATCGTCCAAGATATATGCTCATCGGAAACTAAACCGGGAACAACAAAAAATTGTTATCTCGCCTCGCTGCCCCCGGAGATGATCGACAGAGGTTGTCGTTGGTCTCTGTTAAAGGAACGGTATCGTCGATTGTGCATTCAGAAGGCGAGCCACGAGGAAGACGAAAGGTATACAGTTCCGAGTCACGTAGCTAGAGGTCCCTATATACGTATAAGGGCACACGCAGACAGCCAGAGTTGACGAATCCTCCGTTGACGCACTTCCGGCAATTCTTCGCGTATGCACGGAAGCGACTCCAGTCGTGTAACTACATTCGTTCTTCGACTCGTCGTCGACCTACCGCCCGCGATTTCACGTGCGCTTAGAACATTCTCGACAAATTGATGCACCGCGAGAGGCCCTCCTCCTCTCGTCTTATTTTTTTTTTTTTTTCCCTTTTTCCTATCCGTTCTCGGCAAGACGAGGCGCGGGTCGAGCGAGCGCTAATTTATTGGAATGTTTATGTGTCGCGCGTTATCTGCCGCGACATGCGCAACGCGAGCTGTTAAGGGAACGAAGATTATGCACCGCGCGTACGTGCGCAAAAACGCATGCTCCTCGCCGATTATCTCTCCCTCTCTCTCTCTCTCTCTCTCTCTCGCTCTCTCTCTCTCTCTCTCTCTCTCTTGTGCGCCCGAATAATGCGTGAGTATTCGCATTTACATTTGTTCTCTCTCGGCCTTCGATCGAAGAAAACATTCGTTATGTATAACTCAATTATCTCGTACGAGCGATGACGTCACGCGGCGACAAAAATCAACTGGACGAGGCGCGGCGGGGAAAGGAAAAAAGAATTGGGAAAAAGACGTTGCCGCGAGAATATCTCGCTGTCAACACGACGACGATAAGGCGTATTAGCGGCACGAGGATGAAAAAGAGGATGGAGTGTCGCAGCATCACGATGCTATTCTCACACCGAGCTCTGCGACCGTTACAAAACATCTCGTCGTGTTTTGTCTAATTCCCCGCGCGAGAGCATACAGTCATACGCTCGAAGAATGATTATCGATTCAGTGACCCGCGACATTATCAATGTTCTTTGGCAGTAATGGCTTTCGAAAAAAAAAAATATACGCTCAACTAGTTTACCGCGCGACTTTTTTCTTCTTTCTTTTTTTTTAACGTTTTCGTTATCGGCCTCCGCGTATAAATTAAAAACAATTTATTTTCGTGTATCTCGCTGCCCGCGTGTGACACTATCTCGCTCTTTCCATGGCTAACAGCGAGATATTTTGTCTCGAACACTTTCGATACTGTTATTTATGGATAATGCAAGAAAAAAACCGATCAGCGACTAATGTGTCAATTGATTGATTGGAGAAGATTCAATTGAAATTGGCCATCTGTCTGGAGAAGCGAGCGCTTGCACTCTTGCTGCGCTGGTCGGACGTGGTACAGCCCGCGAAGCTTCTCCCTTATCGAAGTGCCTCGCATACTAATGCCCCGCCGCTCGCGCCTCGCGCGTTTTCGCCTGCCGCTGGCTTTCACTATCTTGTCGCGCGCTCGCTGTAAAAAGACGCGCGAGCCCGCGCTGCCAAGCGACTCACGACGAGTTAATTATTTCGGGTGGCACAGCGGCAGCAGCAGCGCGAGGCAGCGCGCCTCTTTCCGGTCTTGAACTCGGTGGAAACGCGAGTGGAATAAGGCCAGCGGACTGGCGGCAGCAGTCTCGTTCAGCCTAGGTATGCAACTCACCCGTTGAATGGGTAGCCCGCGAATGCCGCGTCGTACGGGTGATAAACCGACGGGTAAGGCCATGCCGCAGCCGTTCCAGCGCCAAGGTTTTCCTTCAGCTCCAAGCCTGCAGCCTGCGAAAGTAAAGCAACGACGCGTTATGATTGAGCGTGAATTTGCAACTGCAGTCGATGTTGACTGCACTGGCGACGACGCGAGCCGCGTAACATCGTCCAACTGTCTCCTCGTTGCGTAACGCCGCTGCCTGGCCGTCCGGCACCAGTCGAAACGCAATGTCAAAAACACGCTGCATCTGTCGCCGGCGGCGATCTCTTACTCGAATAATATGACAAGGTGGAAGACAGAGAGGAGAGAGAGAGAGAGAGAGAGAGAGAGAGAGAGAGAGAGAGAGAGAGAGAAAAGGGGGAGATGCAGCGAGCGACGAAAAGATCGTCGTAAATTTCGCCGGTAACGAGCCGCGATCCGCGCAGCGACAAAAAATCATGCGCCGTAAAGGCCTCCGCTGCTGCAGGATTCATAATGAATTTACGGCGATCGCTATACTCGTCTATCTTTGTGTGGTCTTTTACAAGTTGCGTGCAATTATCCCTGATCTCTCTCTCTCTCTCTCTCCCGCCCTCTTTGTCCTGTTAATACGTGGCTCGCCACGGTCGCGTCGTTGTTTATGTAATTACTTTGCAATTCGATGCTGACCGGACGCGAGATTCGATCGGAAGCGGAAGTCGCCGACGAATCGCGTGGAAACGGCAACGCGCACGCGGGATGATCGATCGATGCGAGTAGCGGAGGCAGAGAAACGAGCAAACTAATGAATTTCCCGAGTCAATCATCGGCGACATTGAGCGAGCGAAAAAAGAGGTGGGGGGGACGGGGCGACGGATAAGCGCGATAGCAGCCCGCGCGCGCCTCTTCTGCCCGGCGAAAGAAAAAGCGCACGCGCTTTCGCATAATTGGCGACGCGCACGCGGATGCGAGAATGCGGAAGCCCCGCGAGTGGAGAGTCCCCCTCTCGCGCACGGCGCGCGCTAAGCCGGCGAACCCGATTTCGCGTCCCGCGCGAGCGGCGACTCGGTGCAACTCACCGTCGGCGTGTAGAACGGCGCTTGCTCGGCGCCTAGTCCCGGGAAGTAGGCGGCCATGCCCTCGCTGGCAGCGGCAGCCGCAGCCGCTGCGTAGGGCGCGCTGTACATGGAGAGCGCGGCCGTCGGCAAGGCGCCGAGCCTCTGGTAGCCGCCGAGAAGCTCGTACTGGCAGGAGCAGACGGTCTGGCCGGTGATCGGGTCGGTGAAGATGGGCCGGCCGGTGTCGCAGCAGCGGCCCGCTGCTGCCGCCGAGCTGGCCGTCGGTGGTCCCGCCGCCACCGGCGCCGCCGGCGGGCCGCCGCTGCTCGACTGCGCGGCCTCCGCGCCGGCGACGGCCGTCGGCGAGCCGCCCGGCGGCCTCACCACTGCGCTGCTCGTCACCGCCATTCTCACGCTCAGGGGATGGTGCGGGTGCTGGTGCGTCGCTGCGCTGCTCGAGCCGCCGGCGTTCTGCGACGTGCTGGCACTGGGCGCGCTGCTGCCGACGACGATGCTCGGACTCGCCGACGACGAGGTGCTCGCTGTCACTGGACACTGAAACAACAGACGTTCCGGTCATGCCTCTCGGTCGACGCTGTGCCGCGCTCTTGCTCACTATTTCGCCGTGCGCGCGCCTCGAAGTAGTACAAGTTCCGTCGATCTCCAAAGTTGACACACATGTGCGAGCGCAAGCCATAAAAATGTGCAACTCGTGCGCGCGGATGCTAGAGCGGACGATGAAATTGGCAGACTGATTCGTCGGGGCGCGAGGCGGCAGATAAACACTCGCCAATGACAAAGCTCATTACCGATCGGAATGATCCGACGATCGTGGAGTGGAGGCGAGCGGATAAGCTCGGAAAGACGATAAAACTCGGTTACGCAACGCCACCTCCGATCTCGGAAAAGCGACGCGAACATTTGTCGACGAAATGCCAAGCTCGAGCGCCGATGTCCACCGACAGAGACACCGTTGTCGTCCGTCGAGTCAACGTATTTATAACATATACAACTCGTTATTTGCCCGGGCATGATTGCTTATGGCCGAGAGAGCCGCGTCGCGCATATCCGGCAATTCAAAACGTATATACGCAGGCGCACACTTGGTAGTGGAACGTGTTTGAATATTCATCGGCGAGCACGCGCTTCAATATATCGCAGTTGACTCGCTTCATGACGGGCTCACCTCAAAGAGGAGAGGATATTCTAACTAATGTGACTAAATATGGAAAACGGAACGGAGCTGCTATGTATGATGTTTATTCAGACGAGACAATAACCCCCCAGTATATTGATATTGCATGTATCGTATGTATAGCAGGCTCTAGTTCATTGTTCCACTTCGTAAGCTTTCCAGCGTAGTATTGTCGAATTCAGAAAGTCTTTTGCGTTTTGTCGCCATCGCCTTGTTATTACAAAGCTAATCTCGTATACGCATGTTTGTACGTGCGAGTTTGTCTCTCTGTTGAAATTTTCTTGCTCGTGCGTGCATCGCTTGATAAAGCCGACTCCTCGTTGATAATTCCTTCTCTGGTTGTTTAATTTGTCCGGCGCGGGCAAAAAAGCTTACAAATTTTTCCATCTATTACCAACGAGAAAACAAGCTCTCGATTAGATTACAAAAGCGCGCGCGACATGCTTGGAACACACGAAAAAAAAGGGAGGCCGTAACGAGGAAAATTGCGATTTATTTATTTATTTTTTTTTCTTCGGGATGCATGCAAGGCGTGTACGTTTTTCAAATTTTTCAGATCGAGCACGTCTCCTTGTGCATTATGACGGCCAATTATCTTATCTCCATGGCAGCGTCAAAGTTGAAAGCAAAACAATGTTTTAACTTTTACCGAAAGGCTAAATTGGCCCTGATTAATCGTTGTTTTTCAAAGCTGTTTCTTCGCACTTTCTTGCCGAATATCAATTATCTAGGATTTTTCATGTAATTAATGGACTTTTCGAACAAATCTCAATTATTCAAGTTCATGATCGAGTTAAAAAACGAAAAAAAATTCGCACGATACCGAAACAAATTTTTTGTGTTCCCGCGTGCACATTTCGTGCTGTTGTGGAGCGGAAAGCAGGTCGAAAGGAAGGCAGCAAGGAGAAAAGAGAGAGAGAGAGAGAGAGAGAGAGAGAGAGAAGAGTTAATGCGGCCATTGTATGCGGCTCCATAAAATCCATCACAATCCATAACATTTAACAAGCCTTACGAGAAGTCAAACGTTTAAGGCCTTTCCAGCAGCTGCCTTTTAAAAGGTTCTCTTGCTCGCTTTTCTTTGCCTTTTCCCGCAAAGGACCCCTCTCATTAATTCCACATCAAACACACGAGAGAGAGAGAGAGAGAGAGAGAGAGAGAGAGAGAGAGAGAGAGCGGGGCTAAATAGATTAGATCCCTTCGACAATTGTTTGCGCACCGAACAAATATTTATAATACTTTACCCGCTGATTTTTCATCGTGTGGGCCGGTCCACGGCAATTGTCGCGCTGTTTCTCGTCGTGGCAAATTTAACGTTTTTCACGTGCCTTTCAGAGCCTCGCGGTCAGAAGAAAAAAAAATAAATGAAGTAGTGTCGAAATCATTGTTGGCGCGTATCGTTGTTTCTCACGATTGTCATCACCAAGTCAAATCGATATGTACACGCGCAACAACTGTTCGTCGATTTGTCCCTTGTTTTCTTCTGCTTTTCCTTGTTCGCCACCGATTTGCAAGCCGGATTTACCGTTTGGCTTTTTGCGTCGTATATCGAAAGCGGAAAAGCTCATTTTTTTCCCTCCATCTCCCGTTTTCATTTCGATTCATCAAATTTTCCTTCGACAGCGAATAGTAAGAAATAAAAATCAAGACGCACAGTTTTCCTTGTTTTGCTGAAATTTGTACGTCGCCAAAGCCAACTGTCAAATCGGTTTGCTCCGATTTTCATTGTCCTCCGTAAAAACTGACTTCGACAGCGATAGAGAAGAAAAATAAATACGCGGGCGATCGGCATACAAAGAGCCGACGCGCTAAACTCACTCGCGATAAATGAAGTATCGAGGCGCGAAATCCTCGCGAGTCAAGCGGTCTCCGAGGCCGATCAATCTCCAAAGTCGAAAGCTCGCGCAAAAAAGGAGCAACAACGTGGTAACACGAAAGTTTTTCTGTTCGGTGCAGCGGCGGCTCACACACGCACACTTATAAATCGCAACACCTTGACAATCATCCTCGGAACGTCGAGGGAGAGAGAGAGAGAGAGAGAGAGAGATGCCGATACGATCCCCGTATGTTGGAACACGAGGCGACGAAAAAGAAAAAAAGAAGCCGCGGCGAACAGCGATCGCGCGCATCTCTGCGCCGAAAGTATGAGAAAAGAAGAGGGTGAGCGAGGGAGAAAAAGAAGAAGCAAGCGGCAGCAGCGGCAGCGGCAGCCGCCGACAGAATAACTATTTCCTGTGGCGATCGCGCGATCCCGATAAAAAAAAATCGAGGAGGAGAGGCAGCCAGCGCGGCAGCTCTCTCGCGGAAATACAAAAGCCGAGGCATCAGGAATGCAGGCGCGGGTTAAACGACCAAGCGTGTTGCCGCTGACCCGCGCGAGGCTATAATTCAAGCCAATGCGCGGATAGCTTATATATATCCTCGAGATCGCATCGGACGGTAGCGAAGGACTGCAACTATATCACGGTGACCGAGGAGGAGAAAGAGGGAGACGCCAATTGCTCGGACACCTTATTCGCGCGCAAAGCGAGGCCCGGGACAGAAACCAGTTTCTTCGTCCGCGCTAAGCCTACGGCCACGGCAAGCGTGGCGTCCGAGATTGAGCCGCCGAGCAGTCCAGCTTCCACGGGGGGCGTCGTCGAGACCCTCGTAAGCGGACGTCGCGCGCGAAACTGCTGCGCGCTACGCGCAGCCTCTGCGCCGAGCAGCGCCGTCCGCTAATTGCCGCGCGTCCAAACCGGAATGCCATTTTTGTCGATCGTCGCTAAGACACACGAGTTCGTTGTCGAGTATTCTCGGCCGCCGAGGCGAGTCGGACTTTGGGTCAGATCGAAATTTAAAGAGTACGGTTCATTTCGAAAGACACGTCGTAGCTGGCCGTCGTGGCTACCCCCAGGCACACGCACCTCGCTTCAGAATAACCGCTCGCGCGCGGTCATCGTATCCCGAGAGAGTCGAGCTCTCTCTCACTCTCGCTCTCGAAACCATGTAAATCTCGTCAAACTACTTCCTGATTGTCCAACTGAATACATATAAATATACCTCGACCTATTGCAGGACTCAAACTCCGTTTTCGCTGCTGTCCAGGTGCACATGCGTTCTTAGATTGCAGACTATGAGAGTCATCACGCGCGCTTCGTTATAATTTATAAGTGTACATAATAGCGATGTTATCTTAATGCAAACATGCTATTTAATTAACATACATTTCATGCTAATAAGCATTTTTTTATTCTCTCTCTCTCTCGTCGCGCACACACTTCGCAACGATACTAACTGCTCTCTGTTTTTTACTCCTCGAGTGTGCACTTAGCGCAAAATGCATTAACGAGCGTGTTACGAATGCCCATAAAATATTAATTAATAACGTCGCCAGTTGAAAGCCGCGCGCGAGTTGTCATTGGCACATCGCCACTGAAGCACGTTATCGTTGAAAAAAAAAAAAATCAGCGCGCGATTATGTTTCCCTAATTTTTTTTCTTTTCTTGCTTCTTTATTTCGTAAACGCTCTCGAGGTCAGGAAATCTTCATCGCAATCCGAATGCCCCTGAATATTCATAGAAGGAGGAAAAAAATAGGCGTTTGATGAAGCCGTTAAAGGCTAAGCCCATCGGCGGCCGCAACGTTAACGCGAGAAATCTGCAGCCGTGCACGGATGGGGGGTGTTTTACAAAGTTTCGGGGCAAGAAAGACATTTGTATATATCGATGGGATCCTTCGGCGGCTCGATAAATTGCGCGCGAACGTGAGCGCGCGCGTGTATAATCAGTCGCGGCTTGCGTACGCATTAGCAGCCAAGCGTACGCTCGCGCTTGTCCATTTAAGGTGTACGCGAAAAAGAGCCTCGCTCGCTGATGATCGATGTGAGGCATCGTGCGACGCGAATCGATGATGAGACGGAGAATGAAAAACTGCTCGGTAAGATGGAACGGCGACACTGTCGATATCGTGATTTTATAAGTCCTCTCTCGGGGGACATGTGCACGACGACAGAGAGATTTATCGGATGCCTGATTATGGAACGATTTTTTTCTCAAACACGCCATCACAAGGTGCGTACTCTCCGCTGTTCATCGTTTGTCACTCGGACTTATCCTTGCTGAAATTATCCAAGTTACACGATTCGTTATACTTACAACAAATTCAAATTTAGCGATAAGAAGGTATACGTGTGCGAGTTTTACGATTTCCCTTCTTTTTACGAGGCTTTAATGCATTGTATTAGCTTTTATTTTTATGGTCGCGAAACTATAAACTAGAATTTCAATTTGCTACTTGGTGCGAGCATTACAGAGTTAGCAAGTTGTTAAAGTAAGTTTTAAATGGGCAAAGCACATATGTAACATAGTCAGCGAGAAAATTAACCACTTTAAGTCGATTGTTTATTAGCCGAAGCGTGCGCGTCGATAAACGAAACAGGCCATTATCAGCCGTTTCGCTCAGTTTTTTCCCCTTTACTTTTAGCTTCGCCAATAAAAATTCAGGCGCGAAACCGTTGCGAGCTAACCTCCGTGGCATTATGGAGTTACACAAGGAGCCAGCACAGATGTGTTTGCTCTCCTTTTTTTTCGGCGCATTTGTCACGCGTGTCGTATATATATAGTAGTCCCATGGACCACGGCGCGAGCGAGCGTCAATATTGACTAGACGGGGCCCAGTACTTATACGCGCCATCGCCTGCTTTGGTTGTCCGTTATAATCCGTATACAGGATGAACTTTATGCAGCCGCACGAAAAAGCATATGCGGCGTGCGTGTGTGTCTATTTGACTCTCGTTTTGTTTGCTCGCTGATTTTACGATTATTGTTGCGGTCGCTGCAGCTTCCTTTTATCCCTGACGGTAATCCTCCACATTATTAGTTTTATTGTACCGCGCGTTGCGTTCAACCTACATTGTATTTCTTCCAGTGGATGAGGAGGGGGAGGGGGGGGGGGTAGATAAAACAAAATCGATAACAGTCTTATTTGATTTCTCGATCCAACGCTCTCTCCCTTTCCGAGTGGCCGAAATTCGAGGAGAAAAGTTCGTCATCAACGCCAAATCAAGCATACATTGTTAGCTGTGTTTAATAAATAACCTCTGGTTACACGCGCGATTATAAAAGTGAAAACCGAGATACACAGCTGTATAGCAGGTTTTTTTCAAATAAAATCCGACGCCACCGCGCAGCCAGAGTCGTTTTCGTTCGAGTGTTGTACTGTATATATAGTTTTCTTTTTTATCGCAGCAGACAAAGTGTTCGTATTCCGACACCCAACACTTCCGTCGCGTAGCCGGGCGATAACGAGCGGAGAGATGCAACTTTGTCCTCTGCTTACAAACAAGAGAGCCATTAAAAACTGAAGGAGACGTCAGCGCATTTCATCGATACGTGTGACAGAATGGCGAAGAATCTCTTTTCTGCTGGCAGGTGATTCGCGAAACTCGAGTATCGCGGCCGGAAGTCGCATATGTCAACAATGCCGTATGTATATACGTATATATATTTACAGTCATCTACGCGTACGTCGCCTCATTTGCTCTGCTTTAGATGTCCGATAAAACTTTGTACGTATCGTTTTTTTCATTTCTTTTCTTTTTTTTCGAGACTCCGTATTTTTTTTCGGCATTTCCTGTTGCTCGAGATTAAAACGACAGGTATACGAGTTGGAGCGACAAGGCGGATCCGAGTCAGCGTTTTGCTATATACATGTATATATATATCGGATGGCGTCCATTCAGCGAAAGCGCACGCGCACTTGTCGGCTTCTTCAGCCTACGTTTATACACTGTAATACGTACGCCTTGCGTGCGAATTTCACATCTCCAATAATGCCTCATTAGGGTAAAAAAATGTTTAATAATTTGTGTGACTACTAAGGCTGAAATCAGACGCAAGAAACGATACTGTATATACGTAATAAAAAGAAAGAAAAAAATTCTCATTCAATATTTACCCCAAAAATCGTTGAGGATCACGTCCGGACGCGTTTGTATTATTTTATCGTAATACGCATGGTATTTATCAGACTCTATAAACTAAGCATTTACTCCGAGAAGGTCCATTGAAAATACAAGTTGGAACCGTCACAAAGACGAAAGCTAAGTCAACGGCTTAGATATGACCCATTCATAATTTTTTTTTTACGAGCGACGGCTGTCTCGTACGAAAGCACGTGTTTCCCACTATACTCTGTAATTGCAATTATAATCGTCAAAGAAAATTCAACAAACTGTATCGGACGAAAAAAACGTGTATCTATGAAACGCTTGTCTCAAAGCTAAGCAATTAACCACCGCGAGGAATGTCCTACGGAGTGCAAGTGCAAATGTAACCTGTCGCTATAGATTTCCAAAGAGCGATTTAATTGCAGAACCCATTAGCTGCACCCGTCGAATGCAATGTTCTAGATTGACTTTCGGTGTCAAGTGCGTTGTCTGCTTTTTTTCCAAGAAAACGTTCGCGACAATATCGCCTTGTTCGGGTCATTTATGACGATGATTAAAGAGGAACCTACAATCATTTAAGAAAACAAAACAAAAAACGATGCGGTCGACGATAATACCGGAAGCCAAGAAAGTTTCAAAGGCACGAGATTCATCCGGAATTGCTAAAATTCTTCACAAGTCAATTCGCGCGCTTGTGATATTTTTAAAAGGCTTTTCGCGAGAGTCGTTTTATAAAATCGTGGTCTGCTGCCGACTAATCGTTATTTACAAGCTCTCGCAAAGCAAATGTCAGGAGAGAGAGACGCCATGGAAAATATGTGTGGCTTTTGGTTTTTGAGAGGTATCAGTCTCGATTAAGCATCATGCGGAGGAGAGAGAGGGAGAGAGAGAGAGAGAGAGAGAACGCTGACAAGCACGGATTAACCGCGCAGTGTGTCTTTGAAAATTTATGACCTCGACATAGGCATTTATTCATAAAAAAAAAGAAACGAAAATCTAAAAATACTACACGAAAAAAAGTCCACGTCATATTTTACTTTGACAAATATCGCGAGCACATTTCCTCTCTCTCTCTCTCTCTTTCTCTCGCGCGGGTAAAACGTACAATTTGTTTGTTCTTATGAGCTTTGTTCCACATACTAGGAGCTTTTTTTCGCACGAAACTTTTATCGCTACCCTTGCTCGTCACTTGCGACGTCGACATTATAACAGCTTGCGCGAAGCTTTTGTTTGAAAATGGACAATGGCTGCGTGACTATTTGCAGTTGACTGTGAAGCTATTTTGCGCGGAAAAAAGAACAACTAAATGGAAAATACAAGGAGCAATTGTAAAACGAGTCGATTACAGTCGACTATTATAACATGTATTTTACAAATTACTTTTTAATTTGTTGCGTATTCGTATAATAGTAGGGAAGTATTTAGCTTGAGCTTTTCCAATTTTGCCGGGTCGCAACTGTAATTGTCTTGGAGTGCAATTGTGAATGTTGGAAATAATAAAATGCGCTTCTCCCTATCATGATACTTTTATCGCCATCACTGCTCGATGGCCAAAAGAAAAAACAAAGTGACGTTTCGCCATCGACACCGATGGAGAAGATACAACATCGACGCATTAACGTCGAGCAAGCAGAGAAGGATAGAGGGAAAAAAGCCGCGAACAAAGTAGCCACTAATAATACCCAAGGAATTTTTTTTTTTTTTTCTTTTTAAGGCGGAGCTTTCGTCGATTCTCGAGATCAACAATTGCGTCAGATATATATCTTGCATTCTCCATCATGGACCGGTTTGCATTATATACACACATCGGCTCGTAAGTTATTGTCAGCTCTCAAAACATCAATTTGTGCGAAGTGTCTATTACACGACTGTGTTGCGGGGAAAAATGAAATGCACGCGGAGAGACGTTGATTTACGAGCTGCGAAGGGCGCGTCGTCGCTTTATTTAGCATGATTCGACTTTCCATCAACTAACCGTTATTGATTTCATCGAGAGTCGTCCAGCTCGGTCGTCCACTCTCGTCCGTCATTTTATTCATCCCTCGGTTTTTATCGGCGACGCGGCACGGCAATTGGCACCGAAAGCGGCCGCTTCTGCTCTCAACGTTCGTTCTTATTTTCACGGCGAACGCTCTTATCGTTATTCCGTTGAAAAGCGCCTCTCGAAGATCGTTTGCGGGAGAGCGAGCGCTCGTCGCAAGGCTCGACCGTTTACAGCGAGCTGGCTACTCGTATCGATTGTCATCCGTTGGCAATTTTGATCGGTCGTATTGGCGATGCTCCGACGAAAGTTGGCTCGCCTATGTGCAATTGCGCGCGGGCCGTTTAGCCTATAACACGCGGGGGACACGTGTGCAACACATCCTGTATGCGATGGCTCGTGTGCCAGAGCGACTGCTGCTTATTTTGCGCAAGGGCCTTCGAGGCTGCTGCGATATTCGTGCCATTAGGCTATACCCTTGATTTACAAGCTGGCAAAAATCTCGATGTTTCGCAATGCAGCCGTCGGGCTCGCCTTTTATTTGTCGCGCGCAATTTATGAATCGCTCCTTCGCGTCCGCGACACAAGCAAAGTGTGAATTATGCATATTAGCAGCCGCCTGCGTCGTTGTGCTGCTCTATCTCGGGCATTCGTCAAAGTCGCTCGTTCGGGCTTTTTCTTTCGCTTCGCTCGGATATACGCGCGTGTGCGTGCAACTCGAACGACCGATAGAAAGAAAGAGCGAAACCCCCAGAGGAGAGAGAGGCGCCGGAAAAGTTACTTCTCGCCTACGAGTCTCTCCCCTCTCTCGCGCCTTCATAATTTTTCCCTCGGTGGCCCCATGTACATGCGCGTGCGAGATATACCTATACACACACTTTCACCTCTCTCGCGAGGGCTACAAGAGCAAGCGACGAATTGCGCAACGGCGCGCCGCGGGATTCTCTCTCTCTCTCTCTCTCTCTCGCGCGCGCGCCCGAATGCAGATATATATGCGCTCATGCCGCCGCCGGCTTTTTTGTCGACGATTTGTCGACTCTGTGCTTTTTTCAAGTGAGAGAGAGAGAGAGAGAGAGAGAAAGAGATCGTGCTGCGGAATTTTTGACGACGACGGAGATTGTACGAAACGTTATCGACAGTCTTCTTCGAAAATCTTTCGTAAATCTTTGTTTGTGACTGATAAACGTCTTCGCTCGTGCTTCTGGTTTTTTCTTCATCGACCGTGTCTTGGAAGCAAATGTTTGCTCCAAAAAAGTAAATAAAAAAACGAGAAGAAACGTCCGAGGCGCGCGGACCTACATTAGATAACAGGAGAAAAGTCAAACAGTCTTATCTAAGAAAATAGATGCCGGGCGTCTTACAGCTCGATAAAATGAAAAAGGTACCCTTGCCGTTGGCGGTCCGCAGCCGAGCAGCCGAAAACGCAGGCGTGACTGGGAGAGACTCACCTGTAAACTTGGCGATCCCCTGAAGGAGAACTGTGACATGATGCGTCGGCCACTCGAGGGCCGCGATAATTGCGCACTACGCGATCATGATTGCATTTGGTCCTCGCGCCGTTCTCTTTCGCTGTCTGCCGCGAACTTGCCTCTGCACACACAACAAACAACCGAACCAAAGAGGAGCTGTGTCTTGCCAGCCGCAAGAGTAGCACAAAAGGAAATCCAAGACTATCCGTGCTCCCTTATGTCTCGCACCGAATTCTCGGCAGTTCACTGTGGCAATGTGGCGTATGCTGCTGCGTGTCGCGATCGCACATAACAATCACTGAGTTTACAGGTGACAACCCGCGCACAGACGAGGAACCGAAAGAAGCGAGGTAGCGTTGGCGCGCGCCAGAGCAGCCGAGGGAGCAGTGCAGCGGCGGCGGCTGGCGTGTAAAAGCTTGGAAAAGGCGGCGGACGATGCAGCAACGAAGAGCGCTGCTACGGCGAGACGACGACGATCGGTGCGCCAGCTATGATCGGTCACGACTATCGTCCTCCGAAACGTCGTTTCTTTTCGACGTTGTCGAGAGAGAGAGAGAGAGAGAGAGAGCGCGATCGCGCGGCGCGCACACACACTCACCAACACGAGCTACGAACACGGACGCGACACACGCGCGCTGCCCGTCTTCTTTCGGGGCTGGCACTGTGTGCTGCAGAGCGAGCACGCCGCGGGGTGGGGGCAGATACACGGTTTCGGCGGCGGTGGGGGAGGCGAGCGAGGAGAGAGAGAGAGAGAGAGAGAGAGAGCGCTCGAACGAGCAATTTTTGCGGGCGGGCAGCACGTGTACACCGAGTTGGAGAGAGAGAGAGAGAGAGCGAGCCGGCAGCGGCACAGCGCTCGTACAAGCGCCCAAGTACAAACTGGCGTTGCAGCTCTCGCTCGTCCACGCTCTCTGGCTTCTCCCCCTCCGGCGCCGCTGCCGTCGGCCGTCTCGCTCGCGGCAGCGCTCTCGCTGTGGCGCGCGGGCTTCTCTTCTTTTTCCAGGGGCGGGTAATCGGCTCTCGGCGGCGCTGCAATCGTCGCCGCCGCCGCCGCCGCCGCCGCCGCCGCCGCCGCCGCTCTTTTGCTTTTTGCCGCCGCACGTGGGAGGAGCCTGCGAGCGCCACCTTCTTTCGCGCGGATAAAGCGCGCCGCGCTAAAGAAGAGCGCGCGCGGCTTCCTTGCGCGCGATACCTACCCAACTGCCGGTGGCGCGAGACCGCGGTGGGGGAGAAAAGCTCGAGGCTACACGGCAATTTTAGTTCGATAGATCCCCCGGACGTTTGGGCGACTTCTTCGTGGCCGCTAGTTTGTTCGGCACCCTCCTACTCCTACTACTACTGCTGGTACGACTACTACCTACTCCCTCGCTCTTGCATCTTTCTCCACGTAGGAAGTAAGGGGGCACACGCGCGATCCCTCCCCCTCCGGCTGTACGTGTTCGCCGCTTTCTTCTAACATAACCGCAATGTTCTCTCTTTTTATCTGCTGCCGCGCGCCACGTACCATCCCTTCTCGCGCACACATGCACACTTTGACGTGACTCTCTCTCTCTCTCTCTGCTAAGTACACGTCGCAGCAAGAAGTCCTCGAGAAGCCCGACCACGATACTTTTACATTAATGCGCGCCTGCTTAGAGAGAGAGAGAGAGAAAGAGAGAGAGCCGAAGGGAAGAAGAGCTTTTTACACTCCATCGCTTAAATTGGAAATTTTTTTGCGCGCGAGTTTTTTTACGATGCTGACGCTGCTGTTTTCCTTTGTCGCTGCTACGACGCCCTCTCTCCACTCCTCTCCATAGTGGCCTTTTTTTGCTAGCTTGCTTTGAATAATATGAAAAGCGATGCTACGCTGTGCACATTACGCTGAAATTTTATTTCTGGTTATTCAGACGTTCGTGACTTTACTGTGGATGTGGCGCTTGAAAGCCTTGGCGGGGATCTAGTTTCAGATAAATATCAGCTGTCAAAGTGTGAATCGCGGGCATCTCTGCGGAAAATTCAAAATACTTTCACAAGAAATGCTAGCGTTCAATTTTCAATCATCGCACATTTCTCATTTAAGCAGTCGTTGAGACAGTCGCCTTACATCTCAAGGATATATTTTACGTACTGCTAAATCACGAGAATTTCGCTATACCCTTATTGATAAAAACGTCACACCAATGCTGTCCAGTTTAATTGAAACTAAGTGAAAATAATTAAGAAGCGTTAACCGCTAAAACATCGCTAAAAGCGTTTCGCTAACTTTTCCGTTAACAGATCTTTATTACTTTATTAATAAATTTCATTCACAAGAATTTATTCCGAGTACGAGCTTTGGCACGTCATTGTAAACTTGCAATTAACAACTTTTGAAAATATTTGATAGGGAAATATATTTTTTAATAAAATAAATAGTGATATTTTAGACTTGTCACTAATTCACTATGCAACTGAATGGCAGTAAGCAGTTGTATAAAAATTGGCAAAGGAGAGAGACTGAGAGAAATAGGAAAAATGATAGCACAACAGAGTGTTAAGTTATTTAAAAGACAAATTTGAATGTCGAAAATATCAGCCAGATGAAAATTCATTTGAAATGGCCGAATCGTCGAAAAATAAAATATCCATGGTAAAAACCTGTCCCAGACAATAAAATACAAGGGAAAAGCCCTGCGGTATTAAAATATAACAAGAGGCAGATAGCTTAGTTTAACTCGAAAAATCATCTCCAACAGGTCGTAACAGCTGAAATAATCTGGAAAACACTTGAGGCAAGTACGCGAGCGCGCGCGTACACCCTGCCGGGCACTCTCGGCCGGAGCTTCGTCGGCGATCCGCGCAGAGGGCAGCAAAACTCACGACGCCTCTCTCGCTGCTCGGCCTGCGAATCGTTTGTTTTTTGCGTCGGTGAGCGCTGGCGAATAAAGTGTCGGAGGCAGTCGCGCGCGCGCGCGCAAGCTCGGCGAGAGAGAGAGAGAGAGAGAGCGCGCGATGGGCGGATCGCGTGCACACCTTCCGACGAAGGAGGAGTTGGGTCTGCCCCTTCGCCTAGAAAGAGGAAAGAAGGGGTGTCGTCGCGAGAGGTGGTTGTGTTGCGCAGGGAGGGAAAGCAAACGACACCGCTCACTTATACTCTCTCGTCGGCGTGTGCGCGCGACTGCGAGGACGAGCGAGCGATGCTGTACATGTGTGCGAACAGCGAGAACACGCATAAAGCGTACGTTACCGGGGGCTCGCTTGCTCGCTTCTCCTCGTACATTACACGGAGGCGTCAATGAAAGCCTCTTCGCACGCTGCTCATTCTGCAGCTTCGGGCTAGATACGCGATTATTCGCAAGCACCCATTGCCGCTTTACGATCCAACGCCTCGTACGCGCTCGAGCGCTCGCAAGACTCGGAGAGATCGGTTCGGCCCGCTGACGCGAACCGCGCTGTCGAGAAAGCTGGACTCGCCGAGCTCCCGCGAAACCGAAGAAAACTAGCCGTCAGCGGCGATTACTCGCTGCGAGAAATCGCGAGAGCTTTCCCAAAGAAGAAGAGACAGCGCGCCGTGAGCCGCGAACGAAGAGCGCGGCAGGGGAGGCAAAAAACGAAGACGAGCCAGCGAGAGAGGATGAAAAAAAATGCGTCCCCACCAGCGCCCTCGCGGGGCAAAGCTTCCCCCACCAATCGGTAAAAGTCTCGGCACTCGTTGGTCGAGGCCAACTTTTTTCCCCACCACTCCGGCCGAGTCGGACCGCGCGGGGGGCGCGACGCGCCGCGGCCACGCCCACGTCGGCCGCCTCGGCACTTTCTCGCCGGCGCGACCAGCGGCTGTTGCTACTGGCGATGCTTACTGCTGCCTCGACTCTCCTCGTGCGCGCTTCTTCCCGACCACGCACACCAGACTTTTCTCTTCGATCCTCTCGAAAGTGCACGCTCCACACACATAGGGGGCGCGATTCGTGCGTGTTTCAGTGTGCATATGTGTGCAGACTGACGAGAACTTCTTGGACGACGCTCAGCGTTTGTATATCGGATTTTTCGAAAGGTTGTACTCTGGCTGCTTTTTTTTCTTTGCTTGTTGGTTGCTTTAGTGCTGGCTTTGCGAGCTGTTCTTTCGACCTCTTGCCGATAACAATTTGCTTGCTGCCTTTTTTATTTGAAAAGCGCAATCTTTCCTTTGTCACTTCGCGTCGTTTAGTCACGAAGAGTGTTGGTTTTTGTAAAACAGTCGAACGGGTTGGTTGTAGATTCGACATTTGCTCTATTGATATTATAGATTTCAATAAATCTAAGACTTCCGTGAGTCTTGTTTTCGTGATTTAATTTTGCATCGCGGAATAAGTTATCAGCTTTTCGTGTTTCTCATTCCCTATACTAATCGTTTGTTGAGAAATGCGCGCACCTCTACAAGTTCAATAACAGGCTAAATCAGTTTGGATACGGTTGCGTAAAGGCCACGCTATATTTCGCACGATCAGCGGTAAAGTTGCGGGCCGTCGCGCGCGAGTGCCGCGTGACAGTTGGTTTCGAGCGTAGCATCGATTAATGGCCAATTATATATGCTTCGTAATGTCCTCATCGCTGTTTCTTTGCCGCAACGATCGACCACACATTTCTGTACTTTGAGCAAGGAGGACGTTAAGTTGGTTGTATGTATATGAAAAAGTGCTTGCAACAGAATGGTTTTTGTATTTTTTGTAATTATCAAATACTCAATTCAGTGTTATGTAGTAGTGACCTATAGTCATTGCAACAGAGACTTCTACAAGTGATTTGCTTACGATTCAGGTGTATCAAAAGACCTTAGTTTTCTCATAATGCATCGCGAAAAGCCTTTCGACGTGTATTTTTAAATGATTTTTCGTGAAATTAAAAAAAGGCAAATGAGCGAAATATTAACTATAGAAAAAGTGTTTTATGTTATCTGAATTTCGAGTAATGCGCCCGAGTACGCATGTTTCTGAATATCGAAATATAAGGAAATATAAGGAAAAGAATGCATTATTGTAAAATAAAGTATCTTATTTATACCTGTGTCATCGTTCTGTCACTTTTATTACTGTTAATTCAGCTTTAAAGTCAAACCGGCAAAATAATCTTGTGGTAAGTATCAGTGACAAAACTTGTTCCTGAGTTAAAAATAAAATTGTAATATCGCATTCATGAGAAAAACATGGAACCTTAATTCGAAGTAAGCCAAACAGGATTAATATGTATAAGCTTCAAATAAAACGTACCCAGTTTAGATGTCACATATCAGATTTATCATGTTACAATTTTTTTATTGTTTTTTCAAAGTTCTTTCACTGTCGGTTCACTAAAATTCATACGGCGTCGATTCACTTGTAACACTTATTCGAAATGATTATCATTGTGTTCTCTATACTATTGGTACAGTAATAATAATAAAGTATTAATCAAAGTAATATCTTCAGCGGTAACAACTATTACAGGCGGCCATACACATTTCTTTCCGATTTCGCATCAAACAATCAGCACCTTCTACAAACCGTATCAATCTCGAGCATCTACATTCGCACGGTGCACTCATATGAGAGACAAAGAAAACGCCCATTGATAAGGCGATAAATTTAGCGAAGCAACGAAAAAGCAAAAAAGAAAAAGAAGAAGCGTGGAGAGCAGCTGGCAGAGCAGCACAGCAAGGTCGACGTTCAGGTGGCAGCACACGATTCGATGGTTGAACGTACTCTGGCCATGTCAAGGTAGACAGAGAGGAGGGAACGCCTATTACGGCGCGTTTGCCGTGTCACTGGGGAGAGGGAAGCCCGTATAAGCTTCTTGGAGAGCGCGGGGTGGGGCGGTTGTATAGATCTTTTGCTGCGTACGTGTGTTCGCGCGAATGTATACGAGGGGTGGAAGCCAACACGGCTATTCTTGCTGCGCCTATAAGTACGCACGTTTCTTTTTATAGTTAGCCAGTTTTTCTTTTGTTTTGTAGTCCT